ACACCAGCTCCTCCAGTAACCCAGCTTGTTTCTTCCCATCTCCAAACTCAGACTTGTGCCATCTCCCAAGAGCAGCTCCTGGCTGTCCATCTCCCTTCTCACGTCCCTGCAATGCCATGTTGTGTGTCAGACTGTACAGACCAGATCCCCAGCAGATAGAAGGCCGTCATTCCCCTGAAGTCAAGGGACCTACAGTGATTTACAGCTCTGGGGAAGCTGTCTTCCTGCCCAGTCTCCTGTGTGCCTCCCCCCAGCAAGAATGCCACAGACATCAGCAGGAGTGTCTGTGCCCTTCTCTCCCCTGACCAATTTCAAGTGGCCTCTGCACAACCTTCATACAAGGCCTTTGATGGCATTAGCAGCATTTATGCCCTTAGAAGAGAGCTGTAAAACCATAGCTGAGAGAAAAGATGAGGGGCCCTTCTAGCCCTTAGACATCTGCAGGCTTCCAGTTCTCTCAGATTCAGAGAAGACCAAAAGATGCCACTACCGTGAAGTGTTTTGCAAAGTTGCCAAGCCCTAAACTGTGCCAGGAATACTCAACTCTTCTGGGAGATGTTGGGCATTTCACTTTCCCCACTGCTTTACTGATACTGCTGCCTTCTTCCACCCCTGCTCCTGGTTCAAGTGGTGAAAAAAACAAAAAAAAATTGACTGGCTCAATTTTCTTTACTTGTTCCTCACCTTGCATTTAAAACCAAAAAAAAATTCTATGAACACATCATTTGCTGAAGCAGGACCCTAGCTCAGCATTCAGAATTGGAGTAATGAAACAGCAAAAAACCTATTCCCACAATTGTAGTTTTGTCAGTGAAACATTCAATAAACTTCTTTCTGCATCAGTCTGTGTGTTCTATTCCAATTCTGTAAAAATGCATAAAAGGAAGCCAAACCTATAATCATATTCTTTTCTCCTTCCCAATTAATCAAACTCTCCCTAAATAACTGCTTGTATTTATAAGCAAGGTCTCCCAAAATACCAGAATAGAAACATTTCCATGCACTTGCAGAACCTCTGACAGATTGAGGCTGAACTGGTTTATCATTTTAGGATCAGCTCTGCATCACTGAGCTGCTTTGATTCCCAAACAGTGCAGGATGGGAATCTCAAAATCCAAACATCACCTAAATTAACTCTTGAAATTGCAATCCACAGATCAGAAGTTTTCATCACCCCTACATAAGGTGGTCTGGGGGATATTCTTTCATGTGCAAGGTGTCTGTCCTAAAGAAAAAAAATATTGCGGGGCCAAATTTGGAAGAGCAAAGGTATAAAAATGATTGATACAAATTATTCTGATATTATATCAGAATTATGAAAAACAAACTTGTATAAATATAATTTCACCCCCTCCATCAGGCAAAAATAAACCAATTCAAATAAACACCAAGAGTCAAGAGCCTCTTGGCAGCCGAAATATTGCAGTGGGCATGTATAACTCATCAAAATTCATCTCAAAGACATTTTCATCTTCAATAATCCTGATGTTCCATGGTCTCAGAATGCTGTGAGGTTACAAGTTAGTGGGCCACAGTATGAAGTACAGCTTGAGAGGAAGAACTTAGGGTTTTTACCCTTGTCACCACTTTAATCCTCATAAGACAGGAAAATGTATTCATTCCCAGCTAATATTTTGGGGGTACTCAAGCAGCCTTTAGGAAGCCAGTTTATCATTGCAAACCAGCCTTTGCTACTCAGTTACTACCACAGATGTGCTGGGCTCGACCTTTAACAATGATTTACAACAATTCCTCCTCTCAGAGGAAGCAACATTTGCGTTGCGAGCAAAGGAATGCCGCAGCAAGCAAAAGTGAGGCTGAAAGCCTCCGCTTCCACACAAATACCTGACATCAGCACCACCAGCTGGACTGCTCTTCTCCCCCTAGAGCTGCGAGTGACTGTGCATTTCTCAAACCATTACGGGAACATCCCCCTGTTCCCTTGAGCAACACACTTACTGTGTCTCAAATCTGCAAATGATTTATGAGTCATGATCTGAAAATAATTATTTCTGTTGGACTTAGAGACTTTTTATTTTTTAAATGAAAAGAGCAATGACCCTGTTCTCAATTACAAAACTACAAGTATTAAGTCCAGGAAGACAAATTCCCCACAGCCATTAAGGGCCAGGAATTGAGATGGAGTTTAAATGAACTGTTGGCAATTACATTAAATGTGTCTAAGTAAAATCTCCAAAACAATGTAAAAACTCCAACTTGACAGCTCTTGATGGGATAAAAAGCTGGGGTTGATTGCAACAAAAACGAAAGAAAGCCAAGAGCAGCCCATCTCCAAAGCCCCAACCTGACATCATGTGCAATTCTACTCCATCCATGAACTCTGCAGCTCCAACTACTGCACAACTGATTGAAAAAATACAGAAACACAGGGCAGAGAAACACCTTAGTGCCCTAATAGCAACTTTAATAATAGCTTTCCCCCTTTTTCAGTTTTTAATAGAGCCTAATTTGCCTGAAGAACACAACTCATTGTTTCAAGTTTGAGTGTGCTGGTTCTCTGTTTTGCTTCTTTTACAGCACATTTAACCTATGTATCAACTATGAAACAAAAGGAAAACCTTCCAATATACAATAGGTAATAATTCCATACTGAAAAACAAATAATTAAAAACAAAAGATAACTCCAAACTTGTTCTCTATAATCCAGATGACAGACACACCCACATTCAGAAGGTTTGAATAGAAACAAAAAAGGATATCTTAATGAAGAAAACCAGCTTTTCTTTTGTACTTAAATAAAATGCAAAAATTCCCTATCAGCTTCTTACCCTCAGAGAAAATTAAAGCTTAATAAACACACATGGACTTCAAAATATATGCAAGAAAAAACACTTACCTTTTGTTCCATACCACAACCACAAGTACTTTTGATGAATCCTTTGCCTAACGCATTACTTAAACAAATGTAAAGAAAATGTACTACTTAGCTCACAAAGCAACAGAAGAAGACAAAGTAACAGGTTTTCCCTTAATATTAGAAGTTAGGCTCACTCACACAACCCCACCATCACCAAACAGAAAACAGCTGCTCTTTTCCAGGTGAATTTAAGCATGTCCGGCCCAATTAGCAAAGGTAATGAGATCAATCAGGCAACAACAGGCTTGGGGTATAAATGCTCACACCAAGAGTTAGCTTATTTCTTTGGGGGTTAGTAACTATGGTGTTGGGGTGATTTTTGGTGTGTTTGTTTAAGGGTAACTGTTGGTTTGCTTTTGGGTGTTTTTAGGATGTTACTTTAAAGTTTAATTATGAAAGCAAATTTTCTCATTTCATTTAGGATAGAATTTGTATGTCAATTTGTTTAGGCTTCTAACTTTTGTGGCTTCCCAAGTAAAGAACTTTGATGAAAGGCCTGTCAAGTTTGCTTTTTTTCATTAAAGGCACTATAGTGAATATTCTCTTATGTGCTAGTTATTTAATAATGCATTTGTTAACATTCCATGAGCAGAAATAGTTTAGAAACATGAGTTTTATTTGTGCTCTATTTGTATGTAATGAAACTGAGTTGGTTTGTTTGTCAAATGTTGTTAATAACCTTTGTAGAAATCAAAGTAATAGCCTTGCTCCTGCAGAGGTAATAAATACGTAGTGTTTTACTCTGGAGTGTGGGTAAGGCTGTTTTGCTCCATGCCTTTCTCAAGCAGTGTGCCTGCTCCTCTTTATAAGTGCAAATATTATGTTTTAGTCAGCCAGTGACCTAACTGTGTTGGAGTAATTTAATGTGAAGCTGAGCTTTTTTTTTTTTTTTGCTTTTTAGGTTGAGTTGAGCCTGCATTGTCATGTTTTCATTTTGCAGAGCTACAGGCTGTGTGTGCTGAGATAGGGTTTGACCGTGGAGTGTGCAGGATCAAGCAGGTTCTTTGGCTGGGTCATTTGAGGGCTGTGCTGGAGTGTTCAATAAAGTAAAGCTGCCTGAAAGTAGAGGCTAAGCAGGTCCAGATGTTACTGAACCGATCTAATAGCTGGCAAGGTAAATGCATTAAGTGTTCCTTTAACTGTTTTGGTGATGGTGTGCTTGCTGTTGTTCTATGCATTTGGTAACAAGTTTTTCTCTTACCTTTGCAGTCATTTTGTTCTCCAAGTGATGTTAAAGACTTTTTTGTTGTGAGCTGTGTAGGTATGTAGAAGGGGCTGTGCTTGTCTTGCTTTAATAGGTACAGGAAAGCCCAATTCACCTGAGCTGGTATGTTTAGGTTGTCACTGGTAGCCCACTAGCAGGTATGTGTTGGGTGGTTGTAGCTGCCTCTGAGACTCTTACCAGCACAGTAAAAAGCATTTCACTGGGAAAAGTGCTGGTGACTTAAATGAGAAATTCTATTAATGGTTTTGGACTGTACCATGATTAGGCCTTGATGCCATTATGATAGGTGTGGTGGGGCTGAACATAAGTGCATTAATGGACAGGAATTGATTACTGCTTGCTAAGTGCACTGAATCAAGGAATGATCATTTTTTTACAGTGTAAATAAACAGCTGCCTGAAGGAAGTATAGGCTGTGAAAATGAAGAGGTCAGTTTTCTATTCTCTTGATCAAAAACTAAACTTTAAAAAAACTAGAGTATAATTAACCCTTTTTCCTCACTGAAATTCCCTTGTAATGCTGATCACTTCTCCAGTGACCATTTGAGATGTGTTTAGAAGCATACATTAGTGATAGAGCGAGTGTGGTAGGCCCCAAGTGCTGCGGTAACTTCTGAGGGCGGCTCTGGGTTTGGGCCCGCGGGGCTGTCCCGGTCTCTGTCCCCAGGGTAACCGGGGCTGTGAGGAGCCGCTTGTCCCCGGTGTCCCGGTCTCTGTCCCGAGGGCAGCCGGGGCTGTGAGGAGCCGCTTGTCCCCGGTGTCCCGGTCTCTGTCCCGAGGGTAGCCGGGGCTGTGAGGAGCCGCTTGTCTCGGGTGCCAGCTCCCGCCGCCAGGGGGCGCGGTGCCGGAGCGCGCCTCCCGCACAGGTTTGTCCCTCGGCGGCGGCCGTCGGGGGCGGGCCAAGATGGCGGCGGCCAGCTGAGCGTTCACGTGGTGCGCTCCCGGTGCCGGTGCCCGCAGCCATGTCGGGCCGCCAGGGCAACAAACTGCCCAGCAACTTACCCCAGCTGCAGAACCTCATCAAGCGCGACCCCACTTCCTACACCGAGGAGGTGCGGACCGGGGGAGTGGTGGGGACGGGCACGGGGGTGCGGGTGGGTGGGTGTTGCTCAGCTGTCGCTGTTCCCTGTGTGTGCGCAGTTCCTGCAGCAGTACCACCACTACCAGTCCCATGTGGAGATCTTCACCTTCCAGCCGGACAAGCCCAGTAAGGAGCTGGCCGAACTGCTCATGTTCTTGGCGCAGGTGAGCCCGCGGGCCCAGCCCTGCGTTAGCGGCTGCGGCAGCCCGAGCTCGGTACCGGCCTCAGTGACCATTACTGATTTATAAACAATTAATCTTGCTCGCCAAACCTCTGAGGTAAGCCCGGGTGTGCTCTGGAGCGTTCACTTGCCCCGTCCCTTGACAGGTCGCCCACTGCTACCCCGAGCACATGGCCAGCTTCCCGCAGCAGCTGAAGGAGCTGCTCTCCTACCACCACACGGTCCTGGACCCCGAGCTGCGCATGGTGAGACCCCGCCCTTGGTGCGAGCTGAGAGCTTGCGCTTTGCTTGTCAACGAAGAGAAGCTGGAGAAGAAGGTGAAATTTGGCTTCTCTTGCAGACCTTCTGTAAGGCTCTGATCCTGCTGAGAAACAAGAATCTAATACATCCCACGAGTCTGCTGGAGCTCTTCTTTCAACTGCTGCGGTGTCACGATAAGCTGCTCCGAAAGGTAATGACAGAAATCTGCATCTCCAGTGGCTTTTGACCAACTCTCTAGAGATAATGCCAGAACAGGCATTCTCTGCTTGGTTGTGAAGACAGAGTTTAAAATGGCTCAGCTGTTTCAGCAGGCAGGGCTCCAGCTCTGTGTTGGCCTGGTAAGTGAGTTCTGCTTGTTGTTGCAGGTTGTAGGCTTGTCCTGTTTGGCATTGAGCAGTTTGGTTGTGTGCGCAGGTGAAAAGCCTGGCTGTCAGAACAGGCCTGAATGAAACGGGCAGGATTTGAAGCAATATTTGATGCTGTTCATTGTCCTGCCTTGCTGTGTTGTAAATTCAGTATGGTTTACAAATGTGAGTCTTCACAGGATGTTTTCCTGTTGTTTTTCCTGCTGGAGCTCAGTGATGCTCTCAGAGGTGATCAGCTAGGTCCCACATCGGTGCTTGGGCACGAGGTTTCCTCTGTGTGCGTTACTCCCTGTCGTGTCTCTGCTTGCAGACCCTGTACACTCACATTGTGACAGACATCAAGAATGTCAATGCTAAACACAAGAACAATAAAGTGAACACGGTAGGTGCTTTGGTTTTTGTGTATATCTTGAACTGACCTCTTGCTGTGGTGGAAGATCTCTAAAAATGTGTTTTCAACTTCTTTTTAGGCGCTGCAGAACTTCATGTACACCATGCTGAGAGACAGCAATCCCACTGCTGCCAAGATATCTCTGGATGTGATGATAGAGCTTTACAGAAGAAATATTTGGTGGGTCTGGCAGGCTTGTGTCTATTTGCCATTTTTTGTGGGGCACACGGGCATCATTTCTAGCACAAAGTGTAATGCAGGGGATAGTGGCTGAAACAGATTTCCTAATTGTAGCCCAGTAATTGTAGCTGGAACTCGTGCCAAGGAATTTAGCTGAGAGGAAATAATGTGTGTGAAATGAGTTATTTAAATATTTGCTGAGAATTAATTTTCGGAGAATGTGAAATTGTCAGAGTTGAAATAAATGGTGTGGTTTGTTTTTTTTTTCCAGGAATGATGCCAAAACAGTCAATGTCATCACAACTGCCTGCTTTTCCAAAGTGACCAAGGTGAGAACAGAAATCACTGATAGACTGGATGTTACCTGGGCTGCCTTTCTCACGTGGATGGAACTTAATATATTGTTACAGCAAATAAGCTACACTGAGGGGTCAGAAAGTTGCTTGTTTAGTTCTCAGAATAACACTCAAGGGAGGAGGGGGAGCTTGGCATCTTGTAACAAGTGTGGATGTTCTTTTTACTGCTCTTCAGAATAGACTGTCAGGAGATCTTCTCCTTAATACCAGCACTTTGACTAACTGAGCTGAGCAGCTGTCCTGCTTGGAGCCTGACTGAATATTGGGCCTTCTGCATTGGCTCTGGAGCCTTTAAAAACTTGTGCTATGGCTTGGGACAAGTTCTTACCCTGTGAAGGTCCAAAGATTGTTCCATTCAATAAAAGCCAGGCAAGCAAAACTAAAAACTTAGTCAGCAAAATGATCTGAATTCACGTGAGTTGAGAGTTGCTGTAAATTCTGTCGCCTTGTCCCACATGAACTCGCTTTACTTTTCAGGTATTAGTTGCTAGTTTGAAGTTCTTCCTTGGGAAAGATGAGGATGAGAAACAGGACAGCGAGTCAGAGTCTGAGGTGGGTGTTGTGACCAAATATTCCCTTCTCCGTTTTTCAGACTTGTTATTGGTTCTGTCATCTTGGTGACTCTGACTCTGCCGGTCTGTCTGTCTCAGTGCTACTCACTGTCCTTTCTAGCTGTCTCCAGATGTTCCTATGGTTCACAAACAACTTCAGTGTCCTACAGCTGGCCCCAAGTGATGGCAGGATGTCTTTGCTGTCTGTTAAAAGAGAAATGCTAAGAGCTCTTTTGTTTTTAGATGCTGGTACCTGTGTGTTCTGACGCTTAGGAAGGGGGATAGTTTTCAGAGTATGTGGTATTGAAAAATGTTGGTAGCTTGTTTCTTTGGTTGCCATTTGAAGCCTGGGTTACTTGTGTTTTGTGTTCCTTCCCCAAGGATGATGGCCCCACGGCCAGAGATCTGATGATGCGCTATGCAACCAACAAGAAAACCACCAAGCGCAAGAAGAAACTGGAGAAAGCCATGAAGGTCCTCAAGGTGAGGAGAACGCTGTCTGATGTTGCATCATCTTGGCTTAATTCTTCTAGTACAGAAGTCTAGAAGGCTTCTTCTAGAAAAAGAAGCTTCTTCCTTGTTAGAACGAGGCCTGTTCTTGCCCTGCTAGTTTAGCTGCAGATGGCAGATGATGCTGTGTAGCTGAGAACAGGGGTAGTTTTTAAAACCCAGGGATAGTTTTTAAAGTCTTCTTGAAGAGGCAGAGATCTTTTGACAGCAGCCTTGAAACTGAAGCCCTTCACTCACAGAAAGAGAGCAATGTGTTTTGCTCTTGTTTCCATGCAGAAACAGAAAAAGAAGAGCAAGCCAGAGGTGTTCAACTTCTCTGCCATTCACTTGATTCATGATCCCCAAGGTGAGTGTGCAGGGAGTTCTCTTAGTGCAATTTGTGTTAATCTAACAGCATTTGATTTGGTCTTCATCTGTTCCTCTGAACCTCTGGGGATGTCATTTTCTCAGATGGACCTTAAATGTATCTAAACATTTAGCTTCCAGTGCTTACCCAGTGCTTGTGGTGTTGGGGAACACGTGTTGGCTCCCTGTGCTGAACCTGTGCACAATCAGGCCTTTTAGGCATATGAGAAGTACAAAAACCTATTGGATAAGTGCTTTGGTCATCTTGAATTTCTTCTGTGAAAGGGCACTGGGGCTTGGTAGTAAGAACAAATCAAACTGCCTCTTGTGAGCATAATCCCATTTGAGTTCTGTGTTGTGCTCTTAAGGGCTACTGCAAATCCATTTTTGCTTTTTCCAGACTTTGCTGAGAAACTGCTGAAGCAGCTGGAGAACTGCAAGGAGCGATTTGAAGTGAAAATGATGCTCATGGACCTAATATCCAGGCTTGTTGGAATACATGAGGTATGTACTTGGATAATTCTATGGTGGTCTGTGGAAACAAGCGTGGTTTGGATGTGGTCGTGTTCTGGCCTTGTGCCTCTGGAAAATAAGGTATAATTTTTCTCTATGTCCAGAAGGGACAGTCAGGGAGTTGCCAGGAGGCCTCATGGAGTGGCACAGTGGTACAGCCTTTGTGGTACTAAGTGAACTCTCCTAGAGCAAGGTATTGGTCTGGAATAGCTGAGCTGAATCTAAAGAATAGAGAAATTGGTGCTTCCAAGACCTTCTGTGAAGCTGCTCATGCTGACCACAGAGTTGCCAGTCAGGTGGTGCTGAACAAGAGAGAAACTGGCAGCTCCTGCACTCGTAGGGTTTTGTGCAGACTACCCAGTAATAAAATATTTGCACTGGATTAAGTAAAGAGTAATCCAGTCCAAGTTGGGCAGTTTCAGAGCATATAAGGTTTTCAGTAGGAAGGACTAAGTGCAGAGAGACTGCAGCTGTATTTGTCTTGGTACAGTTCATTTGCTTGTCCCACAAATACCAAACTCAATTTAGGAGACAACATTTTGCTGAAAATCTGAGGCATTTGGTGAGCACACTAGAATGAGATGGATTTACCATGTATCAGCTTATGAAGATGATCTCAAGTTGAAAGACAAGATAATATGTTACAATTTGCCTTGCAGCTTTTCCTGTTTAATTTCTACCCCTTTGTTCAGAGGTTCCTCCAGCCCCATCAGAGGGGTAAGTAGCTACTTGAGGTGCTGCTGATCCCGCATGGCTCACATACAGGTGTTTGATGGAAGGGGGAATAGTCCAGTGTGGACAAAGGGGTAACCTGAGGATTTGAAAAGCTCCAGCAGAGGAATAAAAGGAATCTGAGTCCCTAATGCTGACTAGCTAAGCTAAGCATGATTGCCTTAATGCTGCTTCCTTTTACGGGTGTTTGACTCCAGTTCTGGAGCATTTGCTATTGTGGCCAGAGGAGTTCCTAATGTTTGGTGGGAGAGGTGAAGCAGTTGTCCCAAAGAAGTTCAGGCGGTTTTGGGACTGACTGAGCAGCCTGTTGAGTTTTAAGGGATGTGTTTATTGGCTGGAACAAGCTGCAGCAATGTGTTTTGGCATCTTCTTCCTGCTTTTTTTCCAGAAGTGACAAAGATTCTTCTGTTTGCTGCACAGGCTTCACATCAGCTGGTACCACCTGAGGTCAGTGTTCCACCTGTGGTGGATGTTAAATGGGCAGCAGACCAGTGTGGAAATGCAACTGAGTGTGTGTGGGGAGCAGGGAGGGGAATTGGTCAGATTGTTTGGAAAAGCTTAGGGCAATTGCAACGATTTTTGCAAGTTCTGAGGCGTTGTTTCATAAAGGGAGGGGGTGGGAGAAGACGTTTGCTTTATTTTCTGCAAGAAAATAGTGTTTATAAAATATTGGTGGGATGTACTGGTATGTCCTGGTGTGTCTTTCTATGAAAAAGCATCTGTCTGTAAGTAACAGCTAAGTGTGTTAAGTTTCTATTAAATGTGCATTTTTTTCTTAATTTCAGATTATCCAGTCGGTGTTGATGACCATTGCCAATAACTTTGTCACAGACAAGAATTCTGGGGAGGTCATGACTGTAGGGTGGGTACACATAGAATTGTGTGAGTCATGTTCAACTCCAAATGTGGTAAAATATGTCTTTTTTTTTAAAGACAACTTGTAACTTATTCCTGTTACTTGTGCTATGCTTTCAAGAAGGTGCTTGAGTTAAAAGTAGGTTAGCTCCACCTTTCTGTGTTTTTGTTGGGAGTATTTTATGATGGTTTTCTCTTCTTACACTGAATGTTGTATAAATGCTGTGTAAGATTGTTCAAGTTTCAGGTAATTCAGTCTGTAAGTGGCACTTTCTCCTAGCTGGTGTTGAGAAAATTAATTTTGCTTTTTCTTAGAATCAACGCAATAAAAGAAATCACTGCGAGGTGTCCCTTAGCCATGACTGAAGATCTGCTCCAAGACCTTGTTCAGTACAAGACACATAAAAATAAAAGTAAGGATTACATGGATATGACTTTAAACTGCTTTTTTTCCTGTGCTGTGTCGTCTTCAGTTCCAGCCTTCATGGCAGTGCTGTCCTAATTGGTTTTTAAGGGCTGAGACCATTTTCAGTGTTTGGGTTACATCTCTCTATATGGAGTGTGTAGCCATGGGAGACAGTCAAGGGTAGTTATGGCAGGGGAAATAATTGACTAAAATAAAGCAAGGAAGAGGGATTGTTAAGAGGAGTTAGCCCTGAGGAAAAGCTGTTTTCTGTACCAGAGAAATCAGAGGGAGCCTTAACCTCAGAGAAGATGTGAGTCAGCTGTAAATGCTGGTGATTTTTGCGGGCTTTTGGTTTGCTCAGAGTTCTGTTTTTTCCTGACTCTCTCATTGTCTGGGCAGATGTGATGATGTCTGCAAGAACTCTGATACACCTGTTCCGCTCTCTGAATCCAGAGATGCTGCAGAAGAAGTTCAGGGTATGTGTACCGTGTTTTGTACTCACTGAAAACTGATGTGCTCAAAAATGATGAGAGTTGGTTTCAGTATCCTCTTGAGAAGGTGGAGTGAAGTCTGTGTTCTTCCTTTGCCTGCTGCCTTTGGACATGGTGTGCTCTCCACATTTTGTTAGTTCAGATTCATCTAACTTATGGTTAGCTCATGCTCCTGAGATTCAACTGTTTTCTGAGACGCATTCAACTTGAGTAATTGAACTCTGCCATGTGAAATAAGGAAAGGGCTTTGGACCCACACCCTGCTGTTCCTCCAGGTACTTCAGTGGACTGGTGGATATTACAAGAGTAACCTGCTTAATGTGTGTTTTGTTAATGTACAGGGTAAGCCTACTGAGGCCTCTGTGGAAGCCAGGATTCATGAATATGGAGAACTGGATGCCAAAGATTACATTCCAGGAGCAGAAGTACTGGAGGTTGAGGATCAAAAGGAAAAGGGAGGAACCCGAGAGGAAGGTTGTTTTTTTTTTTTCCTTTAAAAATTCTGGTTTGGGCATCACCATCACTAAGATTGGATGTGGATGTGGAACCTGGTGTTTGTGCATTTCATTTCCTGCTTTTCCTTGGCTTGCACATGAGTGTCCTTGAGTAAGTGCAGTGTGTCAGTGGGTTTGGTCCTGTTGCTTTTTATGATACACACTGAGATGGGGAAGCAGAGGGACAGAGAGTACAGCTGTGAACTTGGTGTTTAGCTTCTAAATAAAACCTTTTGAGTATTAGAGAACACCAAAACAGTAGTTTGATAGAATATTTGGTTTCTGCAATTCAATTGTTATGTAAATGCTTTACAAACCCTGGAGCCCCTGCCTGAGTAGGGGAAAAGAGATGGAAGAATCTGTAAAAGGACGACAGTTTGGCAAATCAAGTCTGAGTGCCTCGAAGATGCTGCAGGAGCTGTGCTGGAGGAATGCAGGCCCTGGTGGGACAGGAGTCATCACTGCTAACTTCAGACATCAGCCAGCATGGCATGCTTAGACTGTCTTACCTAACCCAGCTATAAATCTCAGTACTTCTCCTGTGGGTTTTGGTGCTTGGGAGTGGGGAGCACTCTTACTGAGGAGCATAATCAGTGTCTGTTGACTCCTCTGGTGCTTCAGGCTATCCCAAATGCACCTGGTTTTCAGGATCTTGCCCTGGAAATGAGAATTGAGCTTTGCAGAGCATAGCGTGGATTGTGCCCCTGGGCAAAATGCCATTAGGAGATGAGTGAAATAAAGGAAAGATGGCTAGAGCAGGGGATCCAAGCATCAACTGTTGCTGCTCTGGGTAGTGAAGATGAATTTGTGTTAACAGCTCTGTCCTTGTTCCACGAGCAGATGGCTGGGAAAGTGCTAGTCTGAGTGAGGAGGACAACGACGATGGAGAATGGATTGATGTGCATCACTCCTCAGATGAGGAGCAGCAACAAGTAGTGAGTTCCAAGTCTCTTCTATGCCAAATACAAATGGGTCTCGTTAATCACACACCAGATCCTCATGCTCTTCACCTTCATGTGGCTGCTCTTAAATCCCTCCCCGGCCTTCAGAGCGAGCTGTCCTGCAGCAGTGAGGCTCAAGTGCTGTTCAGCAGTGCTGCTGAGGTACACATGTTGTTAGGGTGGGAGGGGAGAAGGAGAAGTTGGTTACCTCTCAGGACTCAATGCTTTCAGAGCTGTGATAGTCAGGTGAGAGCTTGCACTCCCAAAATCTGCTATGCATGTACTCAGTTCAGACACCAGATGTTGGATATGAGACAAGGAGAAATCCTGAGATCTGGTTGTAGCGTTTCCTAACAATACTTGTGAAACTTACTGCTTGATGTATATTTGGGAGGCAGGGATCTTGGTTTGTGGCACAAGAGTGGTTTGCGAAGCTCTGCTTTTTTTGTACCTTTTTCTTTCCCAAAGGCAGAAAAAGTAAAAAGCATGCCCATAGAGGAACGAAAAGCCAAAGCTGCAGCAATCAGTACGAGCAGGCTGCTGACTCAGGAAGACTTCAAGAAAATACGTCTTGCCCAGCTTTCCAGAGAACTTAATTCTGCACCTGGCAAAGCTGCGAAGCGGAAATATATTGAAATAGATGATGAAGAGGAGGAGGAGGGCAGGTAGGCTATAGGCTGCTGAGTGCTTTTTCTTGCCTATCCCCAACTGATGCAACTCTTCATTGCAGCAGGTTACTGAGCTCTGCTATTGATCAGTGTTCACTGGTGACAGCCAGAGCCTGGAATGCATCCTGGGCTGGGGTTTTGCTTATACCTGGGGAAAAAAGACATGAGGAGCTTGTGAGAGGTCTGAGACTATTTGTTTGACTTGTTGAGGCCAAGAGGCAGGAGAGGGGGACCTTCATAGCAGTAGTTGCCTGGTTATAGCTCCAGTGTTTTCTAACTTGGTGAAAAAAGTAGGACTTGAAAAATAAGAGGGTGACTTTTATAATGGATATCCCACACATGAGGAACAGCCTGGAGGGAACAAGAAGTGTTTGTGTCTAAATTGGCCATGAGGCAGTGGCCTAAGATGGGTGAAAGACAAAGGATGAAGAGGGTATCTTGTTTTCCTTGGCAGATGAAGTTTTGTGTGATGACATTTATTGGATTTGTGTGTAGGGGGGAGTTGCTCTCACTCAGAGATATTGAACATCTGCATAAGAAGCCCAAGTCAGACAAGGAGACCAGACTGGCAACTGCAAAGGTGAGGAAGTGGCATGTCCTCTGTCCCTGTCCTTCTGGCTTGGGGTTTCTCTTGTGTGGAGGACATGCTGAGACTGCCCATCTGAGATAGGTGCCCAGCTGCCATGTGGGTTTTGAGAGGTGGTTTGTTTGGTTCTTTGCTGTTGCATCTTGGCTGTAACAAATGTGAGTGAAAATGTAAACAGACCCAATTTTCACTGTGACATATTAAATACAGCCAGTGTGGGAGAAGGCATGTATGAGCACAGTCATCCTGAACGGAGGTTTGTTGTGACTGCTGCAGAACCTGTTACTATCAGGCAGGTGATGTTGATGGTAGGTGAGGGGAAATGACCCTCTGATGCTCTATTGCACTGTCTATTCCAGGCTGGAAAAACAGACAGAAAGGAGTTTGTGAGAAAGAAGACCAGAATTAACCCATTTGCCAGCTCTTCCAACAAAGAAAAGCAAAAGAACAAGAACTTCATGATGATGAGATACAGCCATAGCGTCCGGACCAAGAACAAGCGTTCCTTTAGGGAGAAACAGGTAATGTTTCTTGTTGGAGATGGATGGGGCAGTGTGAGCAGTAATTTGTGATACAGGTGTGGTGCTGCCTGCCCCCTGGCCTGAGGTGTTGCTGCTGGAACTCAGAGAAAGCCTGTGGCTTGGCCTCTTCCCCAGAGGAAGAGCTACTTCGCAGAGATGATCGTCTTTGTAGTCTCTGACCTTTCTCTTGTTACTTTTCTATCACAGACTCATCTGTCCCAGCCTAGAGATCATCTAATAGTTTGTCATAAATGTCCCTGAGGAAGATATACAAATGCTCTTTATTAACTGCTTGTAGCTGCTTTTAGAAAAAAATCAGTTAAACAGTGGTTTCACACTAGTGCTGCTCTCAATGGTGAAGCCCCTGCCAGTCTGGTTTTACAAGGTGTTATTAACTCATCCAAATGTGTTCAAGAAACTGGTAGAATAATCCAGTGGTTCAGTTGTTTTTTCTTCCCAGATTGTGTTCTGTGAAAGTGTTTAATTGCTGCTTGAACTTTGAGTTGTTTCCAGGATCATACATGCTACCCAAATGATATTTGTCTGCAATTTCTTGCCTTAGGGAAGGGCAAGACAGGAACTATTATTAGCCTTGGTAGAGAATGTCTGAAGTTTTTTTGTTGAGCAGGATGTGGGCTAGTATCCTCTGTACATATTTATTTGGCATTATTCTGCCTCACCTCAAGTAAGGCCGACAAGATGGAAATCAGCTCTCAGAACACACAAAATAGGCTGCAAATGAACAATCCAGGCACTTTAAGGAAGCTGCTGTTTACAGTTACACTTGGCTCAATTGTTCTAAAACAAGTCTTGAAGGATTTTGCCCTTACTAATGTTTTAAATTCAAATGTAATGGCTAAATGGTATTTATTCATACTTTTTTGCCATGAAAGTTAGGCTTCAGTACCAGTCCATTACTCCTAAGTGTTTTGGGAGGGTTGCAGGATCGTAGTTGTATGGTGCTGCATTCTGCTGCACTTTTTAGTGGTAAGGTCAAATGGCCTGCTTGCTGTAGTCCAAAGCTAGCTCCTTTACTAGCTTAAAACATGTTTCAAGCACAATAATATTTCTTTAGGGTGATAGTGGCACTCATAAAAATTCTTCCTTCCCCCTTGAAAAATAGTTTTGTAATACTCCTTTACAAAACACCAATTTTACTTACCTCTCAGCTGAACAGTAACCTTTTTCATCTCTTGTGTTTGAAGTGAGTCAGTAAAATGGTTTGTTCTAATCTTTATTGTATAGTATTTGGTAATGCTCAGCTCTTTAATTGTACTGTGGAGTTTAGGAAAATAACCCCAGTGTTTCTGCCACTGTATTTGTTAGCATTTGCATTGCTGCTCCCAGTTTGAGCTGATGAGTTTTTAGTGTTTGTATCAGAGGTTAAAGAATAGAAAAGAGTTGTGATGTGGTTGTGGTGTTTTCTCAGTTACTATGCTCCTTACCTGAATCTTCCCCTCTTTTTTTGTGGTTAGCTGGCTCTTAGAGATGCACTTCTGAAAAAAAGAAAACAGCTGCTAAAATAAATGCTGGACAGAACTTCATCACCCTTGAAGAATTCACGCTGGAGATGCTTATTTCCACCCACCATTGCCCTGAGAGAAAGGAGGACAGTGGTGCCTTATGGATTTAGCTCTGATCTGTTCAGAAATGCAAATGGAACTCTTGCAAGCTGGTGGATACTGCATCAACGGGACAGAGGCCTTAATCTTGGATAATTGGAATTTGTTTTTAAAGCATTTTAGGGAAGAAGACAATTATATTTTTATTTCATGTAATTTACTTACATTGGGTTTTATATACGTAAGTATTAAACTACACAACTGTATGGTTAAAATTCTACTTGAGGCAATTAATGACTAAACAACAGGAAGGAAAAATAATCTTCTGGTCTGTCTATAATGCATGTGGATATGATGTCTGTGCCTATCTTAGGGGAATGAGTGTACAGATGGAGTGAGCTGTTGTCTGAGCAGCTGGCTTTGACCAATTTAATAATACCAAATTGATCTGTGATGCAGGTAAAATTCATTTAAGAGTTGTATCGGGAGATAGGGTTTTTTGGTGCCATTTAAATACAAAAACAATATCACATGCCAGAGAAAAAAGGAATATTTTCCTGTAGTGGTGTGCCTTCTGGTGGGACTTGCTGGTGTCTCTTGGCAAGTACACAAAAGAATCATGTGGATGTCTGGATTCTTTGTCTAAGGCTGAACTTGTGCTTTAGCCTTGACCTCTGTTGGAACTGTTAATGGGTTCTTTGTTCCCTGCCCAGCCACCTGTTTTAATGGAGTTGATAAAGTATTTATACCTTGCTTTTTCAAAGTATGCTAGAAATGCATTTCTTTGTGGTGCAGGAACAGGTGCCACATGCACAATATAGTGGAAATGCATTTGATGCGGTGCTTTTTTCCTTTCTTTTTAGGAAGCCAAATTAATGTTGATATTTCATATGGGAATTCAATTGGTTTAGCTATTTGTTGAATATGTATTTGTAATAACTTTCATTCTCTCTTGTATGGATTTTTTTGTTGGTTTTGCTGTCACTCTGCTTCCTAGAGCAAAAAAACTTAGAGAAACTCAAGGGAGAGAAGGACAAAGTAGGATTTATTTTTTACAGCTTTCAGTGTTTCATTCAAATTGTGTGTTCCTGCTGAGGGAAGGGCAGGGATTGGTGCTCGGCAAGGAGAGCAGTGAGCTCTCAGGTGGAGGAGCACGTGTAGCTGGGAGCTGGGAGTGCTGTGGGGATGGAGTGTGGAGCAGGGGCTGGAGCCGAAAGGAGGAGGAGGAGAAGGAAAGTACAATCTGTAAACCACGGTTCTACTGGTGGTGGCGTTTTTTCTGCTGAACAGCTAAGCAGTTTCCCTTCTTGTGCATGTGTCCAGAAACTAGTAACCTCTGGCACTGAGAGGGAGTGGTCATTTTTTGCCCCCGCGGTTGAGGACAAGCGTCTAGCTCGTCTCTTGCGTTTGGCTCAGGTTTACATCCGCGCTGTGTCAGCCGGCATGCTGGCAGCTCAGCCAAGCGTGGCTTTGTCCCCCTTCCTCGCTGTGGAAGCGGCGGTGTTGGAGCGGTTTCCACCAACCCGGCCCAGCAGCAGCAGCGGCGGGGCAATGCCCGTGTTTCCCGGTACCGTTTCCCTGCCGCTCTGCCCGCTGTCTCCCGGGCCCCAGCGGCTTGCAGCGGGCTGCCGGTGACGCCTCGGGGCGGGCCCTGCCGGGTGGGCCGGCCCCGGGGCGCCGCTGCCGCTCCATCCTGCGCCATGGGCTGGGGGCCGTGGGCGCTGCTGGCGCTGCTCTGCGGGGCGGCGGGAGCGGCGGCCCCTCTGCGCTGTAACGTGAGCCTGGACAGCCCGGCCGAGCTGCGCTGGCTGCCCGTGCTGCGGCACTTCCAGCCCGCCTTCCTGCGCTCCGCAGTCCGGCGGATCATCGAGTGCGTGCGGCCGGGCGGGCGGCGCGGGGTGGCCGCGGGAGCGGGGCCGGCCCGATGGAGCGGGGCAGGGCTGCGGGGGCTGAGCAGCCGGGCCGCTCTCGGCTGACCCTTCGGCTGTGTGTGTTGCAGCGAGAGCGTCCCCAAATGGGTTCACCAGATCGTCCAGCCCATAGCGGCCGAACTGGAGCTTTTCATGCCGCAGCCCTTCGCGGGAGAGATTGCGGGGATGTGCAAAGCACTGGGGATAAGTCTCGGAGATGGAATCCTGTTGAACTTCGCCTACGAATCCACGGCGTAAGTGTCGGGTACTTACCGGGTCTCGTCCAGGTGGGCACAGAGCTTCAGTTCAGAGTGGGAGAAGGCACACGTGGTGGGTGACTTGCGCTGTTGCTTCTGAGACCTCTTCAGCCGGAAAGTTTCCTTCTCTTTTGGCGGATTGACTGCTGAAATGAAGGAGAAACGGTGTTGTTGTCTATTGGGAAGTATAAGTAATATCTGTCATGGTTTTGTGTACGTACATATAGATATAAGTGTATTAAAATCCAAAAAACGTTTTTGCTGGTAAGGTACATCGATCCGAAAGTAGAGATCATTTATGTCTGAAGATGATGTAATGTTATCTGTCACTTAAAAATTGCCAAAAAGGAGGCTGGAGTAATTAGTTGCTCTCTCATTTGTCTGAAATAAAGTTAATGCTAAACTACTTTCTGGATGAAGGTTCACAACAGCTGCATAATATCACTTCCCGATTAGAAGAGTGGAAAATGCCTGTAGTTTATTTATGGCAATAAACAAAACCTCAATGGGAAGTACTCAGTTTCATTGTCTCTTTTGCCCTAGAAACATGGTGGAGAATAACCAACACTTGCTGCTGACTCTGTGGAGAGCCTGAAGTACTTCTCCATATACATTTTAGCAAATATCAAGGCATGTGCCCCTTGTTTCCATTTTGATTTTTTTTTCCCTTATTGTGTAAACTCATTGTTTTTTCAGTAAGGACTACCACTGAACATGATACACTTAAATGCTGGCTGTATTAGTGTTTCACAGAGAATACTTAGCATAATACTCACCCTGGTGAGGCCCCTGATACTCAGTTTTTCAGCTCAGATACTTGAAAACCCCCATCAACTGGGAGTAGTTGATGGAATAAACCTACTTATATGAAGAGTTTTTTTATCTTTATATTTTTCAGAGGCAGAGTTATGTATCACTGACATGACCAACTCAGAGCTATGGAGAAAATAAATTAATTCCCTGCTAATGCAATATACTCCATAAAAACAACCTGTTTTAATGAAACTGAACTTGTTACACAAGGAGTTTGAGCAGTCTTCCTGTCCTAGAGAATAGTCCGTTGTTGCAATCCTCCTCCCTGTTACTTGAGCCAATATTTTTCAGTTTCATTGATATGACTTAATTTGAATTTATCTACTTGTGGTTAAAGTTATAAAGAGTCCAAATGGAAATGAAACCATCAGAATTAAATGCAGAAAATGCGACACTTTATGGATGCTTTCAGATGTCAGCTTTTCATTATGTCTTAGAAAAGTGAAATGAAATAATTGTTTTTCCTGAGTGGAAGTGCTGCTTTCTGCTTGCCCTGTAATTTCTGACCTGCTGTGGACTGTGGTGTGGTACTCAAGTCCGGTTTGTGTTAATAAAATAACATTAACGAAACACTTAGCAAGCATCAAGTCAATTAGTACTGAAAAGTGGAGCTCCAGCAGCTAGAATATTGCAAGCAGTGCCAGAGCTGTGCCTTCAGTCATTCTTGGCCTGTTCTGTTGGCAGGTTCTGTACCAGCATTGTTGCTCAGGATGACAGAGGGAACATTTACCACGGTCGGAACCTGGATTATGATTTTGTTGATATACTGAGCAAGATCACGCTGGATGTGCAGTTCATAAAGGGTGGGCAGGTACGGTCTGGGGTTGGTGTGGCTGGGTGGTGTTCTGTGAAGAATGGGACAGCCCTATAGCTGCTCACATGGGGGGTTTAATGTAGCAATGGGGTTCCCTTCCCAAATATCCTGAGTTGTTAGAGCAGCACAGGTATGCTCCAGGAGTGTGGGATTTGCTCATTTTCTTTCCTTTCTGGACATCCAGTTTATGGTGATGGACTGGAAAAAGTAGAACAAGTTGATCTAGTATTGATGATCTTATTTCTAAGAGATGCTGAAAGACGGAAATGCTAAGATACTAAAAAAGAAAAGAAATATTTGGGGACATTACAAAGAGATCAGTTTTGGTAGGAACCAGTTCTAAGGCTTTTTTTCCTTCTTTAGGTCTTGTGAAATTCTGTGACCAGTAAGTGTGTTTTTAGACAAAGATTTCTAAAAAACAATTAGTTGCTAGTGTAGTTTTGTGAGTCCGATTTTTTTTTTTTTTTTTTTTTAGGTCATTAGTCCATTTTGTGAATGGAGAAGTTGCTGTTTGTTGCTTGGTGGTTTAACCTGAGCACAAGTCTTGTAGCTGTCGGTGATCACAAACAGTTGAAATGCTGCGAATTGGAGGCCTCAGAGTCCCTTTATGAGTTACTTGGCATGTTTTCCTCTAACTGAAGGCATGGTGTGCTAGAGCAATGTAGATATGAAAGCCTTAGAAAGAAGTACAGGCTGCAGGTTCTGACTGTGTTCCGTTCTGGAATGCTCAACTGCTCCCTTTCCTGGTTTCAGGTTGTGTACCAAGGCACCACGTTTCTTGGTTATGTAGGCTTATGGACTGGGCAAAGTCCGCACAAGTTCACCATCTCTGGAGATGAACGAGGTAATGTCTTCCACAGGAGATGCTGTGTGTTATTTCTGTTGATGGTTGCTTGCCCTGGCCTTTTTCTCTCAGAGGGAATAATGAGGTTAAGGTTGCCAGAAGGATCTGAAGTGGAATGCCTTGCCTTGCCCTCAGGGAGTGAAAGCATACACGCCTGGTTTCGGCTGCTGTGTAGGAGAAGGTATTTGTCAGCGGTGTCACCTGAGCTCCAAGTGTCAAAGGATGAGGAAAACCTTGGGAATGCTGTAACGCCATTGGAGGTGGCAGAGATGGGGCTGAGATAACAAGATGCAGTTAGGATAGCAAAGAAAAGGCTCCTTTGCTGGTTCTGCTGTGTTCTGTGTTTGTCTGTCCCCATAAGGCAGTTGGAAAGAGAGGAGGGGGAAATGATTTAGGGGAAAGGCAGCAAGGCTTGAGGGAATGCCTGGAGACACAGGAAAGGCAGTTGAGCAAGAAAAGTAGCAGAGTTGAGAGGTAGCACTACAGGGAACTAAAACTTGTAGCAGTGGGGATGGCAGGGGAAGGTCACTGCCTGGTTTATCAGGGCTGCAGTTTCACAAGTAATAAGTTATGTCCAGCTCAAAGCTTGGGAACATGTCTCTTCCATTTCTTTCCCCTTTATTCCTTTTACGAAGCTGATACTGTGTTGTTCTTTATTAGGTGACTGTTAGAACTGGCAATAACGTGTTTTCAGAACCAACATTTAAAATGTTTATTTTTCCCTTGGGATGGTGATAAGCATTTTTCTTTTTAATCTTGAACAATCTATTGTTTGACTCTTTAGTTGTGCAAACAATATTCACTTGTATGTGTTCTGTACACTATCTCTGAGTAGGCATTCTGCTATGGAGCACTTGCACCTCTTGTTTCCTGTTGGCTTTATTAAGGTGGCCTTTTTGGATTCACTGAATTCTTTCCATAGTTTACACGCACACTGATTCTGATTCCAGAGTAGTCACTTAATCCTTTCCAAACTGGAGTGTCCTGGGCTGGTACTGGGCAAACTGCTTTTAGTTCAGCTTAAAGGCAAGTGTTAAGTGTTTACCAAAGTCCTGTGTCTCTCCACATCCTGTGTTCACTCCACACAAGCTGCAGTCCTGTCTGTGGGCTGCTGCTGACTGCTTGCTGGTTTCTCTGAAGAAAAAGCTGTTTTCAGTTCATTTTAGCTGAGCTATGAATGAGCTTCAGTTCCCTCAAGCTGAGGGAAATGAGCATGGGAGCTATGGCTGGGAAGCAGGATGACTAAATCAGTGACAAGCACTGAAGCAGGATGACACTATCAAGGGACAAGCAGACGGATTTTTTTGTTTTCTTTGCAAAGTGTGAGTGTTTAAATAGTAACCAACTTGGCCTTGTGTTTTTTTCACTTGGTTTAATTTTCTCAGTAACACAAATTATATCACTACCTCTTTGTTAGCTGTTTTATTTTTTCTGTGAAATTATTCCTGTTTTAATATTTTACTAAGATGAATAATGAGGTGATTATTATTATCACAGGTCTGAGATGCTTTCTGGAAAGCAGAGGTGTTAATCCAGCTGCTGTGCTTGTCAGTTGGAATTATGTTGTCTATAGATATTTTGCCTGAGGGTTGCGGTCCTCGTTGGCGTTTCTCCCATGGAATGTTAATACTTGGTGCTGATGGGCACTTACTCTGTCTCACTGTATATAAATTACATGTATAGTAATTTTTTTTTTCTCCCCAGATGGTGGTAGATGGTGGGAAAATGCTATAGCTGCTTTCCTCAATAGGAATTACCCTGTCAGCTGGCTTGTGCGACATGTAAGTGTGTACTGAGTTGTTCTTACATTTCACTGTCGTGCCGTGTTTGTCCTTAAACATCTAGAAAACCCCACTCAGTGGCATAGAAGACTTGGCAACTTGACAAGCAATTGGATTTCTCAGGAGAAACTAAGTGTGGACCCTGTATTCAGTAATGAGGCAATTAGTCCACAGTGCCAAAGGTCCTGGAGAAGCTGTGCCAGGACTTGCTTCCTAGGAAGTGTTTCAGCTAGCTGTGACTCGTGTTGTAACCATTTAAGACGGCTGTACTCGTGGATGGTGTACACCTGTGCCAGGGGTTATTTTCTACTATTTATGTTGCTATATTAATAATATTTTCAAGTAGCAATACAGACTCAATTAGCATTTTCAGAGAAGCTGGACCTTTCTTCTTTTGAAGATGTCTCAGTGCCTGTTTTTGTGGTTAACCTCACTGGCATCTCCTTTTTTTGTTAGACCCTGAGTGAAGCAGAGGATTTCCAGTCTGCTGTTGTGAGGCTGGCTGGCATTCCCATCATTGCTGAAGTTTACTATATTGTGGGAGGCGTCTCACCCAAAGAAGGCATGGTCATAACGAGGAACAGAAGAGGGCCAGCAGATCTCTGGCCTCTCGATCCCTTAGGTGGAGCGTAAGTAGGAAAATAACACTTAGTTTTTGCTTTTCAAATTCCCTTCTGAGCGACTGGCTTAGTAGCACAACTTCCTTAAGAGATCTGGGGCACCTCTTGGTCATGGTTATAGCAGGAGATCAGAGGTCACCCACCCTGTTCCTGTGTTCCATAGTTGATGGCAAAGGCTGTTACACCAACCAACGTGGGGCCCTTGGGCTCGTAGCAAGCGGAGGGAATTTTTTTCTTTCTAGCAATATAGGGATAATGATTGTTGGACTTGATGTATTACCTACTGATTCACCTTTTGTTTGCTTATATGCTTGTTACAGGTGGTTTCGTGTGGAGACAAACTATGATCATTGGACTACTCCTCCTCCTTTTGATGATCGCAGGTAAATTGTTTGGAAGCTCTGCAGGGAGAACATATATATAACCTTCAAAAGTGATTAGAGGTATGGGCAAGTATTTTCTCCTTGAGCAGGCAGCTTATTCAGTTCTTGTAATGCCACTCTGCAAGGAATACACACAGGGCAGAGCAATATTCACAGATGCCAGAGCAAAGGGTGTGAGAGAGTGATAAGTATAAATAATGAAAAATTGCAAAGGTAATGCATAGGCCAAAAACTTTCTCAGGAAGCAAAATATAGTAGAAGGGGGATGATTTAGATTGACAGTGGCCAAGTATTGAATGGCACTAGGAAGGTGCTTCCATGGGATTTTTAGGCTGTGTAGTGTGCTGAAAGGGATTGGCAGGTTCCTTCTTGCTGTGTACTCAGTGGAGTAGTAACAGGAACTTCAGCACTGTGAGATGAGATCCAGTCACACAACTTGGGGTTAGTTTGGACCAAAGCAGGCATTTCAATGCCAAGGCCTTTAGGAAGAAGCTGTTTGTGCTTTGTAGCCCTTGGAACCGACAAGTGTGTTTAATTGCTAATGAGTTGCTTTCCCACAGAACTGCAGCCATCAAAGCTCTCAACACTACTGGACAGCACAACATCAACTTGGATACACTCTTTAAGGTATTTCTCAAATTCTGTGTTGTGGGCTGCTCTTCAAGTTCTTTGACAAAGCAGAAGTATTCTTTTATCAGGGATGTAAAAGCTGTGCTTCACTGTGGAGAGCCAAGTTTACTGCACAGGTGTCTCTAGGGGTTTGAAGAATGAAAATTGTTCAAAATGCTTCTGGACTCCAATTTAGGCAATTTGTTCAAGTTGACCAATTCAGGTGGAGAGTGCAGGGGGTGAATCCCATCATCTTTGTGCAGTTTCTTATTTCAAGCACAGGCACTTAGTGTTAAACATGGTAAGCTTTGGGAATTTGTATGTCTTTCAGAGGGCTTTTTTGAAAGTACTTCTGTAAAATAGTCTGATGTTTAAAAAAGGCGAGAAGGCCTTGATTCTATATTATTGCTTTTGTAACTTCATCCTACTGCTGTTTCTGAATAGCCATTTATTTCCCTCTTTATTTACCCAAATGACAACTCTTCAAACTTTCTGTGCAGGTGTTGTCAGTGAAGCCAGTCTTAAACAAGTAAGTATTAGATGGAGAGATGTTTATCTGTGCCTCCTGCTGTGCCTCAGGCCAGTTGAAAGTACACCACAAACTTGGTTAGGATCTTCCTTATGTGTCTGAGTCTTGTGGTTTCCCAGCTTTTGGCTTGTGCTCATGACCCTCTATTTCCACTTCTTGGGTCTACCAGTTGAGTTAGGGAACTGCACTTGTTTGGGCTCAGTCAGGTAATGGGACATGGCTTTGGAGTAGTGAAACAAATGACTCCTTTGGAGGAGCAGCTGGATGTCACACTGACTCCTTTGCCCACTTTGGGATTGGTGTTAACACTGACAGTAGCTTTTTCTGTTGTGATTAATGTGTAATAAAGTAAGTGGGTCAAGGTTTTGGATACCCTTTACTGGGCTATGAGAGATGTATTTCAGTACACGGTTCTTCTGTGCTGTTCCAGAAGTTGTACTTTTGCAGGTTATCATGTAATGGTTTACTTTTACATGGAGCTCAGTGTATGCTCTGCATCAGTCATTGGAACTTGGCAATGGCTTCCTCTGCCTCTCCTTTGCCTTGTCATTGTGAGGAAATGGGGAAAGGAAAAGGTTCATCTCAGTTGTGACATAGATGCAGTACCAATTATTTAATACAGGTCCTCTGTTGTGCTGCATGGGGAAAAGAACACTAAAAATTAGTGCCAACAGTCTTGAATTTGATCAGCCTCTTTTCCTGATCCTTCTATACCTAATTAGAATATTTGTTTCCACCAAAATTTGTCCTGCTGCTTTGCTAGCTAGATCAGTTCCCCTTCCTGCCTTTGGGATGTCACTCACTCGCTCTGTTGCTCTTTCCCTGCCAGTAACACGGTGTACACCACAGTCATGAGTGCCGCGCTCCCGGATCGGTACCAGACCTGGATGAGAACTGAGGAGTAAAGAGGTGGAAGTGGCAGAGGTGTAAGTGGCATCTGTACTTAAACAATCATTTTAGCTGCAGAGTCACTGAGGGGGAAAAACCATTGTAGTGGCACTCTGGTGACCCAGTCTGAATTCCTGATTCTGCTTGTTTATTGTCCTTGGATAAATACCTTCCCTTGATGTTTTAGAGGGAGTTAAATACTGACTCTCCTAGTGAAACTCTTGGAGATGATCTTACAGTTTTGATCAGAGAGGAAGGGATGGATGTTGCAACCTAAAGGTAGAGGTTCCCTCTGGGAATATTTTGGCTATTTTTACCACTCCCCGCTATGGCACTTGCTTGTCTCCAGGTGGATGACAACAGAAAGCCCTGCCAGGCCAAATGGAATCCCATGAGGAGGGGACAGCGCATTTAGCACCAAGGAAGACCAAACTTTGTTGGTAAAGGCTGCTCACCAGTGACTGCATGTGTGAGCAGCTTCCTTTGGGGGCCTTGTCCTGTGAATGAGCAGAGTAAGTCCAAGTTCTTGAGCTCACAAGGTGCCTCATGGGATAGCTTCAAAGAGATGTTATGAGAACTTCTATGCCAAGAAACTGGTTGCATGGCCTTGGCAAGAGCACAAGAATCTGTGTTCCAGTTTAAAGAGTTTTTAAAAAAATGTTAGTGCTATTATATTTGTAGCAGTTTAGTCAGATTTGATTTTAGTAAGGTTAATTCTTTGTAGAGGTTGTGTAGAACTTGTTTTTCACTTAACTCTGGACAAACCTGTGTTCTCTTGCCTATTTTTCTAGTTCAACACATGGAGTGAGAAGCTGAAGCTGTGTAAGACTAACATATGCTTTTAAAATCACTCCTGGGAGCAGCACAGTGGCTTTGGTTCGTGAATGATGTGAACCATTCAGGACACAGTGATTTGTTAACTCTTTGCAGTGTTGCAGGTGATCCTGTTAATGAACTGTAATGGAAGTTTGAAATTTATTGTAATTAAATTGATGCTCTAATAGATGTTGATGGGTAAAAATGGCTTGCATTATTTTTGGTAAGAGTTGTGCAACTGCAATGTACTTCTGTGCTGACTAATAGACACATTTTGTAATTTATATAGCCTGTAGGTCTGAAATAATTAAATAAAATTTTTTTTTTATGTATTGTATATTTCTGTATGAAAGCTTTTGGGGTTACTTCTATGTCATCATCCTTTTCCCTCATCTATGAGTTGTTGATCCTGGGCCTAGCAGGAGCAGATGCAGCAGTCAGCAGCATGCAGAGCTGTAGACTATAGGTATTTATCAGAAATCAGGAGCTGTTTCAGGAACTGTGGTAATGCACTTTTCTCCTTGGTAGATGAGAGGAGGTTGTGTTGGGTAGCAGTGAAATTAAAAAATGGTTGTGTTGGTTTTTTTGCATTCAGATCAAGTTACCTGCAGTAAAAGCTAACATCTTGTTTTACAGTGTAGAGCAGTGGGGTTTTTGTCAGGTTGTGCTGTGACTGTATACTGAGTTTAGAGACTTAGGTATACTCCTGAAATACTTAGGGATTTGAAGAGCCAATTGATGGAGACCTTCAAGGAACGCTGTCGAGTGCCCTCCTTCACTGGACAAAATGTCCCCTGTGTGAAGGTGACAGAGCAGCTTGCAGATCCATGCCGTGCTGACTGTGGTGAGTGTGGCCTGGTTATGCAAACTGCTCTGAGAGCACCTTGGGGAGCTGCAGGCCCTTTATCTCCTTGTGAGGAGTCTCATAACCTGCTTACCTGCATCCTCTCCTCCTGCCTGGATCCAAGTGCTGCGAGCTTTGCCCTGACCCAGTTTAGATAGCGATGTACAGCAGCCAGATGATAAATGTGAAGAGTTCCTGGAAGAAGATTTTAAAATGCTCGCTACCTTGGATATTGCAGAATGCCATTGTTTTTTCTAATTCACAGAGCAGGCACTGATTTGTGATCCCACCCGTTTTTCTTTAAATAACAGCCACCCACAGCAACAGGATCCTTACAGGTGTGGCTTTGTGTGGTCATCCTGACCTCTGCAGCATTAGGCTGATTATCCTCTAGCAGGGGTGTGCCCAGATGCTCTGGTACATTAATTTGGCCAAATGTGTTTGTTTCATTTGCTTTCACTGTTGTTTGTGGCTTGGCAGCTGTTTGGGGTTATGAGGTTTGAACAAGTGCAGAATGCAGATTTTTTTATTTGTCTTTATAAACTACTTCCTTGAAAACCTTGCAAGATGCTGACTGCCAACAAAATAAAGTCTTTCTGCCACCTTGAATGCTTTTTTGCTAACCCAAAGGATACATAAATTCCTGGTCTTAGTATAATGACAAGCTAAAAATATAAATACTGATGAACTGGTTAGTGATAGATCTTACAACTTAGATAATTTAACCTGTTAGTAGCTAAGGTACTTGTGATAAGTACTGAAGTTTGATAAAAATGCAGAGATGTGATTGTTAATACTGTCAATAAAACCATCTTAATGCTGGAAACATCAAAATGTAGCAATGATGGGTTTTTTTGGTAGGTTTGGATGGTTTGTGGGAATTTTTGCCAAGAAAGACTGGACCAAAACTTCCTGAGGGTATTTCTCTAGCCTTGTATTCTATCACTTCATCATCATTGCTTTTTTTGAAAAGGGAGGGTCATTTATAGTTATTTGAATAGCTTGCTGATCATATTTTTGAGATTTCATCTGCTTTGTGTGTACAGTTTTTAAAGACTGGAAAGAACAGTCATTTTGTTGCTTTCTTAAGCCCTGGAATTGTGAAATAATAAAACAAGTTAAATTATCCTTGCTTTTTTTCACATCCCTTCCTTTCTGCACTAGAGATTACATAGCTACAAATCCCTACATACTTTCTCAGCCCAACACAGATAAGGGGTGAAACCTTGCATTATTTTTCCTCCAGAAGTTTGCATTTAGCAGAGGGTGGCTTCGAAGTGTGTAAGAGCTGACTCCTAGGATGAGAGAGGCCAACGTGCTGCATTTCTCATTCATAATCCCTTGAGTAATCCTAATCCAGTTGAGATCTGTAGCCTTTATTAAGCATCACATGGTAGAGGATTCTTAAGGCTGCTCATAACTGGGCAATAAATAAATCAAAGTGTCTGCACCAGTTCTGGGTTGCACGTGCACAGAGACGTGGCCTGTTGTGCTGCCTGCCCAAGGGAACACCTTACTTTATTTTTTGGATTCTGAGGAGGAGATTTTGCATTTGTAACTAAACAAATAGCATCAGAAATCATCGGTCATTTGGGTACTGAATACAACCAAAATTTATCAAGTGGAGAGCTTCAGTTGTGTTTATCTCAACAAATCCATAAATTAGGACTTGGCAAGGTAAGTTGCATTTTCCTTTTTAATTCTTTGCAGCAGGGTTTTGTCTTCACAAATAGCTTCAAGTTTGAAGTAAAATATCCTTTTTTGTATGCCAAGGTGTAGAAAACTGCATTTGGGAGTTTTTTATCTGTAATTCCCCTTTTTGGCATTGCATTAGCTGTGTTGTGGGTGTGTGTTTGAAATACAACACGCTTCACCATCTTGTTTGCAGCTACGAGTGGTGCCAGGTCTGATGTGCACGTGGGCCATACCTCTAGGTATTTACTCTCAGAGGCAAGGTAGGATTGTTGCTTTCCCTAGTGCCTGCTAGCATTTTTTCCCTTGGAAGAAGTATTTGATCGGTTTTTAGTTAATGTGTAGCTCTTAAACTCTTGATGTTTTTCCTTTTAGCAGAACTTTTTCTCTCCAACATCTCTTTTAGGTTTTTCCCTAGTAAACTTTCTAGTCTGTTATGTCCTCCTGTTGCTTTCGCTGTTCTGCTCACCTGTTCCCTTCATTGCTGGAAAGCTGATAAAACTGTCAGGTTAGTGGGCATCCCATCCATGATACAAGAAGTGTCACCTTTGCTAGGAGCAGACTTTCACATGAGCTGAGTTATTTCCTGTGGGTCCTGTGGGTCGAGGACCATGTCCTGCAAATGTCTGTGATGTGCCCAAGTTCCCTGTGTGTAGGATTTGGTTCAGAATGCTGTCCTTTGCTTTGGTTTTGGAGAAGTTAAGTAGCTTAAGCCAGGAAATTTACCTAGGCTTTTGTTGTTTGTGTTTTGGGGTGATTGACTCGAGTGGATTGGTGTAAGGTTTCCTTTCCTGAATTTCCTGGGGTACTAGGTGGTGTTACTGAACTTCTGCTTGTGTTTGAAGAGTTTCAAGAACTGTTACCCAATGGCTTGGGAAGTGAATGGATTATTCTGGCTGCTCTGTCTCTCTCCTGCCTGTGAAACATTACCTCTGGTGGTCAGGCAATGTGCATCTTCTCTGTGTGTGCGTGGTCTTCCCCTGAGGCCCTGAACTTGGTGTTTCACAGATTCTCTGTGTCTGTGTGGGGCCCTCGAGTCCGTGACTTTTTAGTGGTGGTTGAAATGTGTGCAGTGGCTTTTGTCACCTGCCTTTACCGTGCATGGGTGTCTGCTGGCAGGCACTGTGCTGTGGTGCATACCAGGGACTGCCCTGTGTGAAGGTGTGAGGAAAGCCTGTTCCAGAGAGAAGGAAATATCTCTGTGGGAGAGGACTGGCAGACGAGAGTAATATGAGGAAGGGGTGGTTGTTAGCTGGCTGTTTGCTGTCTGGATCATGTTTCTCACCTGGAAGTTCAATACAACCTGTACCTGAAGTGATGCTGCTGCTGCTCAGTTCATCCTGTCGTGGAGGCTGTGCCTTGATGGGTCTCTGTTCCTCTTCCATTTTTCAGGTACAGGAATTTAGGAAGGGAAGTGTTGGATGGATGAGGAAGGATCCAAGGTGCTGGTTCTGTTTCTTCCTCAGTCTTTCCAGCCTTGGAATAGGTTTGATTCCATTGGAGCCTGATTTACTCCTGTGCACTCCTTTGCTCAGGTTTTGCCCCTGACAAAAAATCTGAGGGCAACAAATGTAAAAGTTCATGGCTCCAGGAACTGCTTGGGAGGAACCTGTTGATAAGCCTTTCCATAATATGATAATTAGGGCAGACTAACATTAGGTGATGCCTCTGTATGGATGGCTGAAATGTGTTTAAAGTAGGGCTGCCCTAATAATAAATGCCTGTTGATTTTGCAGGGAGAGAAGGAGATGAGAAAAAAACTGTTGTCAAAGGTGCCATCAAATCCAAGGTCAGGCGTACCACCTGCCTTTATCAAAGCAGGCAAGCAGTATGAAGGTCACATTTTATCTAAGTAGGCAGGTGGTACCCCTGAACACACCTTCAGCAGGCTGAACACCATATTTGAATGTTTGCTTCAGATTTGTTCTCCATTGTTTTAGAAGTAATCTAGAAGTGTTCTAGTTCCTGGGAGAGGGGCCAATGCAGAATGAATAATTTATATCATTGCTTCTCTGGAAAGTGGAAACTTGCTGAATCCTCAGATCTGTGTTAAGTGAAATTTTGGTTTGGATAGGCCAGATGGGCCTACGCTCAAAAGTTGTCAACTTTTTCCTGAGTTCCAATTTCCCTGGTACAGGAGGTTACAAACAAGAGCTATAACTGGTGCATTTTGTCTGCAGTTGTCCCTTGGAGCAGTTAATAATGTGGAAAGCTGTCAGAGTACCTGCATTATTTGAGCACAAAGAAGGTGAAGCACTAGGTAAAACTGGGTGTAATTTGGCAGCTATTTCAGGCATTTTGTGACATTGGTAAGAAACATTATTGTTAGAATAAAACAAGGGTGTAGCTGTTCCGCTGAGAGCATTGCAGTGCACCCTGTTGTCACCCACTCGTGGCATTGTGAGGATGCCATTGTACAGTTGGGCATCCTGGGTGAGGGACAGAGAGTTCCAGTCTTGGCTGTGCTTTAAAAGCTCCCTGTGCTGCGGTGTGGCTGAGCAGGGCTCACCTTCCTGAGCAAACATGGGTTGCTCACCTTACACAACACCAGATGCGCTCCTTCAATTAGTGTTTGTGTGGATCTGAGCTATTTTGAGAGGGAAGACGGGGGTTAGGTGGAGAGAGACAGGACGAGGCAAAAGGATTGCAGGAAGTGAGGAAAGGAGGAGTTTTCTTCTCCTGGGTACAAGTGCCTTTGTAGTTAATCTGTCCTGACCTCTCAAAATACTTTCAGCTGTGTTCTCCTGCCAACACCAGTCCTAACATTTTTACAGGTGTTTATTTCCTTCCCTCCATTTTGCAGCTTTCCCCTCCCTGAGTTTCAGGAGAAGATAAGATTCTGTTGAATTCTTCAGTGATACAGCCTGGGGCTGCTTTGGCAGTATTATGTGACTGTTTATTTTCCAGAGGAAATATGTCTGACTGTGAAGGACAATTTGGTTATCCTCAACTCCTTCCGAGTTTGACCTAATCTTGCATTAGGATCTGTTTACTCTGACCGGAGCTTCCACAGCAGTGAGGTTAAGTCTGCATGTCTGCCCTTTTATACTGGCAATTGATGGCATAATAAGCTCCCACACTTTAGCAGATACATGAGATGAAGGCAAGCAGTGTTTAACAAAGCTGGTTATTTTCTTCTGGTAGCTAATTGTTATTTTAGACTCAGCTTCCTGCTAGCTGTGGTCAGATTAAATATCAGGTGTGTGTTCATCCCTCATAATGAGTTATCCTTTACAGGGTGAATATTTGTCTCCACTACATAGTATTTGTCTGCACATGCTGCTTCTTAATGACTTTTTAATGAATTAACAGTATTAAAAATGAAACAGTATTAAAAAGCTTTTAATATGTTTGCCAAACAATCACAGTACCTATTGTTATGCAAGTAGCTAAAGGTGCTGAACTGATTCCTGTTTATAAAGCTCACTTGAAATGTGAAGCAGTGAGACAGAAGTCTTCATCTGCTTGTCTGGGATTAGCTGGAGAAACCTGGTAGTGGAAAATGTACTTGGGCACAAGAGAGGCCATCTGGTCGTTAATATTATGTGTTAATATATTTAATTGTAGATTCTTGGCACTGTGGGAGGTGTTGCAGCTGTTCTGATTCTGACCAAATGGTCTTCCCTGCATCTCGTTTGTGGTTTTGGTGACACTGAGCCAGTCTGCAACGTCGGAGCATTGGTTGGAGAACATGGGATCTGGTAGTTCTGTAAATATCCAGTACAAGTACTCCCTGCAGAAGTCTGAAAGTGGTGAGTGACTTGTAGAAAAGCGATCTTTTCTTGTTTTCTCCTTCTTGTGCTGTGGGGAGGTTGCAGTGAATGTGTTTCTCCTCTCAGTTACCTGTTTTTTTTAATAGCATTGAAGTGAGCATCTTTCGGTATCCTGTGAGAAGAATTCTCAGGTGTCAGGCAGAATACAACAGGGTTGAGGAAATAACAGCAATTTAGACGAGAAGTAGGTTAAAATCTAACCAGAAATGAAGCAGCAATTAGGACCAACCTGCTGGATTAAACACTTGCTGCGTAATGCAGGTTTTGTTTCGGCTGACGTGAGACAGTTGTTACCCTGCTACTTTTCCTGGATTATTTTCCAAGGCTCTTACTGGTGCAGGTCTGATTGAGCAGATGCATTAGCAAAGCCAAAATAAATCTGGTTATAAACATGGTGAAACAGTGTGGCTATGAAAAGCTGTATAACAGAAAGTGTGCATTTTGTCTAACTACATCAGCACAGTGCTCTTCATCTCTGCTAATAACCTAACTTGTTGATGGCTCTCAAAGCTGTGGTGATTTACTTTTATGAAGCCCTCTGTAATGTTGTCAGTTTTGTGGGTGTGTGCCTGTGTCTGCTGTGGAACAGAGGGAGTTGATGAAGAAGACCTTAGATGTAAGGAGGAGTTCAAAAGTAAATAAATGGTCTTTGTTGTTTGAATCATGTAGCCCTGGGCACTGGCAGAACAGCATGCTGCGACAAACTGTTTGCAAGTAGTTGGAAAATAAAATAAGGATTGAAAGTGGGGACAAGTTTGTAACTCAGACTTGTGCTTGTTACTGTTGAAAAACTTTATTAAACTTAGACTTACCTGTCACCCATAGCACCAGAAGTCCATGGCCTTTTCCAACAAGCTCATGGTTATTTTAAGATGATCAAGTGTAACACAACACTAGTTACTTGTTAGAAACCTTGTATTACATCTGACACCTCAGCAACAGTTGCCCACTGCAGTAAAGCCTCTGGGAATTTCTAGCCTTCGGTTCTCAACACCCTTCAGATCTGGCCATCTGCAGCAGGGGTAGCTGCTTAGCACTTTCTGCCCAAATGCAGTGTGCCAGATGTCATCCCTGTCCTCCCTGCATGAGATCTGCAGGCTGTTTGCAATGGAAAATGCTGTTCAACTGGCCCTGCCTTGGAGTGAAGTCTGGTTTGAGTGCTGCCACTTTGATATGCTTGCAGCATCTTATGTGATAGATGGTATAGTTCATCATAAAATGTGGCTAAGTCTCTTTGGTTTTGTTTTGTTGTTTTTTTTTTCACAAACTGATACTAACACTGCCAGGTATAAATCCCCAGGTAAGCCGCTAAATTACAATACCAGGCTTTTTCAGTTGCAGAGTTGGTCTCTGTAAAAGCAGAGTAAACACTTAAATACTGTGGATGGTGGTATTTATGTTAACTGTGCACTTGACAACATGTCTTTGATGGGTTTAATTTTTACTGTTTCTAAAGTTGTGGTTTTCATTGGTATGCGTGGAGTCATCACAAGGAATTTTTTTCAAAGCCCAGCAGATCAGTAAGTGTTTTCTCACCAAGACAGAAGGCAAAGAATACAGAAGTTACTCCTGAGTTAAGGCTTGCCAAATCTTACCTTCTTGCCCACAGCTTCAGGGTGTCTCAGACCCCTGCTGAACAGCAGCTGTAGATCTTCCTTTTTTGTGCTCTGCAATTCCCAGTGCTGAAAGAGAATCATCATTTAAAAGATTATTTTCAGTATATAATCCATAGAGATACCTTCTTTAGGGAAAGGTCACTGTTTCCTGAAGAAGTACTTGGAGGGCCATTTGTTGTGTAATTAATGCAAACTGATGGAATTAATATGGTGTCTTTGTGTCTTTGTCTCTTGCCAGTGTATAGCAGCCTTTGGGTAGAGGTGAGGGATTTTCTTCTTTTGAATGAAGGTTTTCCCACACACCTGCCATTGCTCTTGCTGCTTTGGTGAACGTGACAAGGGAATATACCTTCTGCATCAGGCCTAGTTCCCTACCTCTGTTGCTGTCCTTGGATTTTGAAGCCAGCCTGTGGATACAGCACTCATCCCTTTCCCCCCTCGGCGAAAGGTGATGGAGAAGCAGTGTTAGAAGGTGTTTTAAGTATAGGGCTCATGGGTGGGGCTCCAGAAAGGAACAGGAAGGCACGCAGTGTAATCCAAAGAGAAATGCCAAGTAGCAGAGCTGGTCCAAATGGGATCAAGGCCAGCTAAGGAGGATGACAGATCCTAGAGGTACGTAAAATTCTGTGGCAGAACTTGAAAAAGGGAATGTTTAACTGCACCAATGTACTTCAATTGAAACGTGCGCACATCCCATCTGAAATCATCTTTAAAGGGAACACACTGGAATTGGGAGAATACAGAGGCTGTGTTTTAAAGATCAAAGGGCAGATGGCCATAATTTGGTGGGAAATAGCTGGTGTCAGCCCTGGCTGTGGTTTCAGTCTCAAACAGGCACCTGAAAATTCTGCCATCTTGTTCATTCTGTGCCATTAAATGGCCAAAGTTCTGCTTCCCCCTTTTCACAGTGGGTGTAGCTTTGTCTTTATTTTATTGTAAGGTAATGGTATGTTGATATTAATGCTGCAATAGGATCCTTCTTGCACAGTTGCAAAAGCTGAGGTATTTATTTCTCATAAAGAGAGGTAGAAAATCCCCATATTTTTAAGGCTCTAGAAGGAAACTTTGTATCCTGTCTTCCCCCAACTCCTTGCATGGCCTCAGTTAGATTTCTGGTTTCCTGAAGCCCCAGCACCTAGGGATGGTAACATGGACATAAAAATTACCATGGTAGGTAGAAAGTGAGGATATTATCTAATAATACTGAAGAACATGTTAGGGCTTTTAGGCCCTAATACTTTGTGGTTCACGCTGGTGCTGAGGAACCAGCAGCAGTGGTTTCAAGTGCTTCAGAGGTCTCTGGTCAGGTCAACCTCTTGCAAATACAAAGGCAAAAAGAAGAGGGTCTTGTTGCCCTGAGGCACAAGGGTACAATTCCTGGAAACTTTTTCCTGAAAAGGACAAGTTTTCTTCCATGTTCAGGGGTGGGGAAGGAGCTGTTGCAGGTGCCTCAGCTGCAGGCAGTGCTGCTCAGCAGCTTGGTTCTGTTGTTGTCCCCCAGCTTTCAAGGCAGCTGTCTTGATCCAGCAATGGTATCGGCGCCACGTGGCTCGGCTGGAAATGCGCCGCCGCTGCACCTGGAGAATCTTTCAATCCATTGAGTATGCCTGTGAGCAGGATCAGATCAAGGTATGGTGCCAAGGAAAAGAGCAGGTAGGAAAGCACGTGGGAAGGTGGTTTCTGTGCCAGACTCTGGCTTTCTGACTCTGGCTGGTAACCCTCTAAGTGCTTCAGTGGGCAGGGTTTCCTGCCTCTTTTTAACCTATGGATTCCCTGCCTGCTTATGTTGCATAAAACACGAAGTAATGAACCTCAAAAGCGAGCCATAAGAGCCATTTAACAGGGCTTTTCTGGAGTCTGAACACAATAAGCAAGTCTATTTGGTTTGCTACGTTTTAATTTGGATTGAAGTTCTCTTACATGGCTGACTCCTCTCAGGGAGAGGAGGGGCTCATAGCATCCTTGTGCCTGTGGCTGAAGGTAAAGCCACTGTTTTGAATTCATCTCAAGACAGTCAAAACTTAATTTGGTACAATGAGAGTTGCTGTACATAGCAGACAGCATGAGAAGGGCAGAGATAATACTTCCAGAAAGATAATGATGATAGGTTGCTACTCAGTTGAGTTTAATTCTGGGGTGAATGATGGGCTCTCCCTCTTCCTGCAGCTTCACAACTTCTTCAGTTACCTCATGGACCAGTTCACACCAAGCAGCAGCAAAGAGAGTAAGTGTGTGTGCTATTGTTAGATGTGGCACCAGCAGTTCCAAAGGCTGCACCTTGTATTATTCATTGCCCAGTGCTGGGCAATCTTCAGGATGGCACATGTGGCCAAGAGTCTCAAGAGTGATGGCATCAGGAATAGAGTGAATTGCCTGGAGACTACGAGCTGTGCAAGGGATGGGGGGTAATTCCTGCTCTTAGGAGCTGGAAAGAGGCATAAAAGTTGAGTATTTTTTCACAGAATCACGGAATGGTGCACAGTGCACATGGAGATTTCTCTGCAGCCTTTCCCCTGCTGCAAGATTTGTAGCAGTGCCGAGCAGCACCCAGCTTCCATGGCTGCAACTGCTCCCGAGTGCCAGCCTAAGCAAACAGCTCTTCTGTAGCAGCAAATTACTGATACAGGTAGAATGATACCTGGAGCCAATTAACCTCTTTTTTGTTTCTCTCTTTTTTAAATTTTTTTTTTTAAAAACCAACCCCACTTATTGGCTGTCCAGGGGATTTTATCAGTCGCATGTTGATAAGTGGGGAAAGTTACAAAGAGGCAGAGTTGGAAAAGTACTGTGACTATGAATCCATAGAGGTGCCAGACTCCTACACTGGACCCCATCTCTCTTTCCCTCTCCTCCCTGACCATGCCACGGCCTTGCTGGAAGCCTTCCAACAGAAACAAGTAAGGATCCCAAAAGGTACCATGCTTTTCCCTTCTCTGAACAAGGGTGTAGGATAGATGATTTGGTCTTAGCTTTCTTACCAAGCTCAGCTGGCTGGCTGTTAATTATGGGGCTGGAAACTATATGGTATTTCCTAATGCCATAGAAATGTTCTTATTTTTGAAAATATATTCCTAACAAAACCAAATACTTTATATATAGGGGTGTACCAAGATTAACCTGAGTTTTATTTTTTAAGGGAAAAATTAGCAACATGTCATGTTAAAACTTTTCACCATTGTTTGTTTGAATTTCTCAGTTTGTAAATAAGTATAGGATGGCCCAGAGAGAAATAGCCAATTACTATGTTTTGTGCTATGCCACTCTGATTTAAAATGTAAACTGAGTTTTTTTGATGAGGAAGTTGAGTATCACTCCTGCACTAACAAGACAAGTCTTGATCCAACTGCAGTGTTCTGCTGCCATCCCTCAGCTGATGTGCTTGAACTCCAAAATAGGCAAAAACACCCCTTCTCCAAAGAGAACTTCTAAACCAAAGGTGTCTCATATCCCAACTGTATTAAATGCCTACACCCTGGCTTTGAGCATCTCTATCACTGCAGGATATGTGGAAACTCACAGACTGGTTAAATGTGGAAAAGCTAAGAAGGCTCTAGAGGAGCAACTTCTTACCTGTGATATTGGGCTGGAATTTCAGCTGCTCCTGGAGGTGATGTGGCCTAGTGTGGGTATAGCCTTGTCCACAAGGTGTGCTGTGGGGCTTTAGGGTTGCTTTGCCAGCCCTCTCAGTGCCGAGGCTGAGCTGCACTGGGCAAGTGTCTGCCATCTTGCAGTTTCCCAATATTTCCCTCATCTTGTTTGTAAGCCCATAGGTCAGCACAGACTGCCACCCCAGGGAGAGTTTCTGCCACCCCGGCTATCCTGGTAGAGTCTTTGCAGCCACGGTAGTGCTGCTCAGAGGCCACTGATTTCCTGCTTTAATCCCTTCACTTTCTCCCAGTAGCAGCTCCACGCTCGCTATGTCTTAAACCTCCTGCACGAGACCAGGAAGCACCTCAAGCAGTTGCCAAACATCAGCCACGTCTCCACCTGCTACAGCGAGGAGGTCACCGTGTGTGGTGGGTCCCTTGCAGCTCCTATGGGAGGGGGTGGGACAGAGAGAAAATGATAGTGAGAGCACGATGCCTCCCTCTGTACTGAACTTGGAACACAAATGCTCTCTATAAGCTGAGTGTGTGATGACTTGAGAGGCAGCTGGGTCTGTCTGAAATACCCAGGTGACCTTTTTTCTCTCACCCCAAACTTGGAGCTGTTTTACTAAACCACAGAAACCACACACAGCTGAGGACTGGTCACAGAACTTGGTAGTGGTCTGACCTGTTCTGTGGTCTGGGATTTTTTAAACAACAAAATCCTGGAGCTGTTCTGGGTGAGCACCAGCAAATGCATGCAGATCTGGAATGTTATCGCATCTTTGCATCCTATAAGTAAATTTGAGACAAAGCTTTTTACTTTTTTCCTACTCTGACTAATGTTAAAATATTGAGATATTTCTGCAAAATACGTAGCTCAGACTTTTGCATGCTATCAGCCTCTGGAAAACCTCTCTCTGCACTATTATGTTAAAAGAGAATTAGATTGTTATTTTGAATGCAAAGCTTTCTCCCATGTAATACCAATCTTGTGCCGTGCTGTGCCATCACAGGAGATAAATGAAAAAAGTTTCTAAATCAGTCTTCAGCAAATGGTGTAGGATTTTTTACTGCACTTCTCAGACTTCAGCTCAAGCCTTACATCACGTCCTTTTTCTCTAGGCTTGCAATTCCCTGTAGTGGAGTGTATCACATTCTCAAAGTATTTCAGTGGGGATTAATTTATAAAGGATGTATGGGTGGGTTTTTTTTGAGTTCAAGGTAAATATGCTGTGACTTGTCTCTTTGTGCCTGCTAGGAGATTTGCACGGCCAGCTGGATGACTTGTTCCTCATCTTTTACAAGGTAGGCACCAAATTTGAAGAGGGAGGCTGTCCAGGCATTGCAATGGGTATCCCATGGGTCGTGTTGAGAAGCGTTTGCAAAATTGGGTCAGTCGTGTACAATTCCCCAAGTCAATTTGATTTGTTTTAAATGGCTTCACAAATCAGTAGCTTACTCCCTTGCTGACTTGGAAATCTGATATCCATGTCAGTTTTATTACTGCCAATGGGTATTTTTCTACTGCTGATACCAATGATAAACCTTTGTGACTGCCAGTTTCACTGCTGGGGCCCACAGGATAAATATGAGCAGGGAACTGTGGTAACCTGGGACCGGGAGCGAGTGACTGCAGCTGGGGGGAGGCCTCTCTGGTGATATTTGCCTGTTCCTTGCTCTTACAGAACGGCCTTCCTTCCCCTTCCAAGTCCTACGTGTTCAATGGGGACTTTGTAGACAGAGGCAAGCAGTCCCTTGAGATCCTTGTTATCCTCTTTACCTTCCTCCTGATCTATCCCAAGGAGGTTCATCTCAACCGCGGGAACCACGAGGACCACATGGTGAACTTACGGTACGGCTTCTGTGCAGGGCTGAGCACGATGTCGAGGGCGTTGTGCAAAACCCCACTGAGCTTCCTTTCTCCTGTTCCTTTAGCTATGGTTTCACCAAGGAAGTGATGCAGAAATACAAGGTAGGCCAATGTTTGTGTCTCCTTTACCATGTGAGACGTGTGTTTAAAAGACTTGATGCTTTATCTTTTTTTTACTTTCGCTCAGGTGCATGGGAAGAAAATCTTGAAGATGTTTCAGAATGTATTCTGTTGGCTGCCCCTGGCCACCCTGATTGATCAGAAAGTCCTCATTATTCACGGGGGCATCTCTGACACCACTGACCTGGACATGCTTGAGAAAATTCAAAGGGACAAAGTAGGTTTTATTTCCCAGTTACTGAAAAGACAAGTGTTGCTGATTTGTGGTGGGGAGCTCATTTCTGCATGTCATCTTGGCTGTTGACGAGACAAATCTAAGAGATGGTCTTCCTAGAGAAACTTGTGTTTAGGTGTAGGCTTCGGTTTGTTAGTGTGTGTGTGCACGAGCTGTGACAGGATGAAGCACTGTTGGTTTCTGGAATATGTGCTGGTGCTGAAGTAAAAACACAGTGATGATGAGACATTGTCCCGCAGCTCCTTAGCCTGCTTTTACCCCCTAGATTTCCAGAAGGATTTTGATAAGTCATTTAACTTGTTGTCTCTGCCTCACTCTCTAGTTGGGCAATATCACTTTCCTTCTCCAAATATAATGACAGCTCTTGTATTAGTCACTAACGTTTCCTTTGCTCTGCTGCACAGTTGCCATTGCAGATGAAATCTGTGTGCATGAAGTCAATGAAGGAGAGTGAGATGTGATGGATGTAGGGCCCAGCTGTAAACCCAGGATGGCTTGTATGAGAGGATGGCACTAGTAGTTCCCCACAGTCAAGCAGCAGTTGATGGCAGAAGGGAGTGGGCTCTGGGGGCTTGGATCACTTCAAGTCTGCCAATGGAAGGTGTTAGAGCTGGAGATCTGGGTTTTCATGCTGTGTTACCAGCTCCATTTCTCTTACCTCTTTCAGTTTATTTCTGTGTTAAGGCTGAAGAAAAGAAAGGAGTCGAGCAGAAAAGAAATACAGGCCATAAATGGTGAGAGGGAATCGGGCACTGATGCAGCAGGGAATGAGGCAGCTCCCAGGTTATCCCTGCAGCCCCAGTCAGCCCAGGCTCCCAGCACAGCCAACAGGCTGGAGTTCTCCAGGTGGCTCCGGCAGACGGTGCAGGAGCAAATTGACACGTGCCGCCGGCTGGTGGACATCAGTGAGTCAGAGCCAGAGGAGCTCACCTATTCCAGCATGGTCTCCTTGAAGGGTGTGGATGATGAGCCGTGCTGGAGTCGCCAGGAGGAGTGGAAGCAGGTGAGGAGTCTAAGCAGGGTCCTGAGCTGGGTGTGCTGTGGGTGCCTCCTGCAGCAGTTGGCCCTTCAGCGGGAGGTGGCCGGGAAGGGCTGCTCTGTGTGGCTGGGGAGTATTTTGTTGGGTCCCTTTGTTACTTTCTGAGAGGAGCAGCTGGGGACTTCCTTTCCAGCCTGAGAGTCTCTTCTGTGTGCTCTGAAACCACGGTTACTTAGTTGACATTAAATGTGACCTTCCAGCACTGCACACCTTTTCACCCTAGCGCTATATATATTGATGTCAGGGTTAAAGAAATTAAACTTTAATCCAAACAGTGGTTACTAGGTCAGCACTTGTATCTCTAGAGGCTGCAGAATGTCCTGGCTAGAGAACAAAGGCATTTAATACTAAGCCTGCTAATGGCCACAAGATCTGCTGGTTGTTCTTGCTCTGGGACTTGTGTTTTGGGATGGAGGAAGACAGGTAAGGCTCTTGGGCATCTTAATGCTAGCAAAGGCAGCCGATATCAGGCCTGACCTATGCATCTCTCTTTCCCCAGACACTTTGGATGTGTGTGTAGCTCCTGGCCAACAACACTGCCACTTGTGAGGTGGCCCAGGTCTGTGACAGTCTTTGGCTGGAATGCAGGAAACACGTCTGTTCCTCTGCACTATGGTTATAGCAGCAGTCTAGGGGGGGATTCAGTGATTCAGTGAACTTGCCAATCCTTTCAGGTGTTAGACATCCTCTGGAGCGACCCCACGCCTCAGGAGGGCTGCAGAGAAAATAAGGTGCGAGGTGGTGGATGCTACTTTGGGCCTGATGTGACAGAGAAGTTCCTTGAGAAGTACAGCTTGCAGTTCCTGATCCGCTCTCACGAGTGCAAGCAGGAGGGCTATGAGTTCTGCCACAACCGCAAGGTCAGTTGGGGGTGGTATGAAGGACACTTGGGTTTCCATCCTCCCAGGACAGGGTTTCTGGGGGAGTGGCTTGTCTCAGTTCTGTATTTCTTCCAGTGGGGCTCTAAGCACATGTAAAATCCTTGAACAGGCTTAGTGGGAGTTAACTGAAGTGTGTTTCCATCTGAAGTCTTAGTTCAGGGCAATCTGGAGCCACCTGCTCTGCCAGGGACATGCCTGTGCAGGCAAACAGTGTCCTTGTGTGTGGTGCTTGAGAACCCACTTGTGCCATGGCCCCACTTAGTGCAGCTGCTGTTGCAGATGTGCTACAGAAGGGTGTTACTGAGCTTGCTGCAGGTGAGTTCTGTTCTCAGAGGATTCACAGTCAGGTCAGTGGCTTTGTCAGGGCACTCAGACTCTGGAGAAAGGAACTGATGGGCAAGAGCGCAGGTGAATTGCGGGAGCCCAGCATGTGGCCAGATGCACGTCTAACTGGTGCCACCCATGAGGAACTCACACCTGCGAGGCTTCCAGGCCAGCTGCCACCTGACTCTCCCTCTTCTCTGTAAAGATGTAAAAGATGTTAAAAATGGTGTATTCACAATCTGTTCCTTCTGGAGGGGATCAAGTGAGTTGTTGTCACATATATAAATATTACAGGATGTATGTACTGACTGCAAATGCCTCTTTTTTTGGGATTAGGTGTTGACCATCTTTTCAGCCTCAAACTACTACGAGATCGGCAGCAACAGGGGAGCCTATGTGAAGCTGGGACCAGACCTCATCCCCCACTTTGTTCAGTACCAAGCAAACAAGACAGCCCATATGCTCAATATGACCCAAAGGCAAGGCTTTCCAGTTGCTCTCTTTGCCAAGTCAAAATTTTTCCAAGTCAAAATACTTCATGCACTTCTACGAAGTTTGACTCTGAAGATGAACTTTCACACCTTGATTTTCTAAAGAATAGCTCTAAAGGAGGGATCAAGCTTTGTACTTGAAGTTTCTCAAGGCTTGAGAAGGGAATGTTAACAAAATTCCAAGGGGATTTTTCTAAAGGTTGCTGGTTTTTCAGCTTTTTTATGCCAGGTTTTAGCTTTTGACCTTTTTCTGAGGTTCTCTTTTGCTTTGTTACTTGACAAATGAATGCAGGGTCTCCTGGCATCAGTTGCAGGGAAATGCCCTGGGCACACAGTGCCTTGTCACAAGCACTGAGATGTAGCTGAGCAGAGCAGTTGTGTGAGGGTCTGGCCAATCCATGGACCAACCAGGTAGAACACTGGGAGGGAAGGTGCAGTTTTCCTTGTGATTCATGGCAAGACCTTCAAGTGCTTCTCTTTGTTCTGCATCCCCCAGAATAAGCAGAGTAGAGGAGTCAGCCTTTCGAGCCTTGCGGGAAAAGCTCTTTGCTCACACCTCAGCCCTCATCAGTGCCTTCAAGGCCTACGACGGGGACAATACAGGTAACTCAGAGCTGAGGGGCTTGTGGGTTCCTTGCCTGGTTGGATAGGGCTGAAGTGACTGAGTTTGTGGCTGGCTGGGAGACTGCTCAGGGACAGTTGTCACAGGGAGGCTCTATCAGACCTTGCCAGAGGTCATCTGCTGTTACTCAGTCTCTGTGGATGCCTCTGAGTGACACCATAAAGTGGGGGTGCTGGAAAAGCAGGACATCATGAGCCTTATGTGTAGCAATTGAGGCCAGTCCTAGAAGAGCTCCTTGCAGCTGAAATACTGATGAAGCATTGGAAAAGAGGACCTGGAAGTCTGTTGTGTCACTTGAGAAGGGTTGCATGGTCTGTAGAGCTCCCTCATCCCTGGAGGGGGATCACTGGGAAGAGCAAAGCAAGCGATGTCTTCTGTGGCAGTTGCTTCTTGTCAGAGCCTGAAGGAAGGAGTGGAGAGTTCTTACTTCTCTGGCAGACAGGAATGCTGTGTTGGTGCAGTGACTGAGAGGTGTTGCTGTCCATTGGTGGGCTGGGGGAGAAAAAGTGGCTGGCTGAGCTGCTCATGGGGAGAATTGTGCTCTTCGTGGGCAGCAAAACTGTTCACAGGAATCCAGCTCAGTTGTTAGAGCAGCTGCTAAAATGGGCAGTGGGCTGCAAATTTCTAATCAAATACCCAAAGTCAGTGTCTTGCCTTTGTTCAGATGTTGGCAGCCTTATAGCCTCAATTTGTTGCAATGATAAAAAGCTTGCCGAGGCCTGGGGGCGGTGTGCACGCGCCTGCACTGCAAAATTAACACTGTCCTGTCAGCAGCACCTAGACTGTGTGTCACTGTTTCAGGCTTTCTTTGCCTTCACATGCTTTCCCCTACCTGTGTCCCAGAGGTGTCTCCCTTTTCCCTGCAGGAAAGATCACTCTGAGCAACTGGGCGACAGCAGTGGAGTCGGTGCTGCGGCTGGGGCTGCCCTGGCGAATGCTGAGGCCACAGCTGGTGCGCAGCACCGAGGATGGCATGCTGGAATACAAATCCTGGCTGGATGACCTGGCCATGGAGCAGAGGAGCCAAGAGGTAAGCACTCACCCCCTTCCATCAAAGCACAATGTGAGCAACTGCTCACCAGATCCCTGGCATGTGCACACCAATTATGGTGCAAAAGGACAGTGGACGGTTCCTGCACAATCCAAAGCCACACTAAAGTTGATAGGAAGTCTTGCCTGAGCTCAAATAGTCCTGAGGCACTCAGCCCATTTTACAAATAGATGATGGATGCAAAAGCAAAATTTTGAGGTAGTTTTGGATGCAGGCTTGTGAGTAGGAGAACTATTCCACTCCCCAAGTAGCAGTTTGTTAATTACGCCCAGCAAACACAACTCCACAGTGGTTATAAAATGCAGCCTGGCTCGCTGTTAGCCCAGGAGAGGGCTGTTGGGAAGGGACAAGTTGCCCATGGTCTGTTCTGCAGCTGCGCAGAGGGTCCAGTTGAGGGTCCACACACCTGGTTGATAAGGCAAGTTCTGGAGAGCAAAAATATTTGTGGAGACATCTGCAGTAACAACTCAGAGAGCAGAGGTGTCAGGTGGATGAAAACTGTCTTCATGTCTTTCAGCACATCCAGTCAAGCTTGCTGGAAGTCATTTATCGAAACAGATCCAACTTAGAGACCATATTCAGGATCATAGACAGAGACCATTCAGGTAAGCAGGTGTGCAGGGGGTGTTGATCGCTGCCTTGTGTTCCCTTGTGCTTTGGAGCTTCCTTTAGTATGTCTAGAGGTGTTTTTGTTTAGGCTTGGATCCTCCTCCTCCCTCCCATGATTCTGAAATGTCCATTTGCCTCTCTGCTGCTCGAAGTTGTGTTTTAGCCAGCGATCTCCACATCAGGAGATGCAGCTGCAGCATCTGAAATGCTCCTCCACAGGTCTCATCTCCTTTGAGGAATTCCAGCAAACCTGGAAGCTGTTCAGCTCCCACATGAACATTGAACTCACGGATGATGGCATTAACGACTTGGTTCGCAGCATTGATTTTAACAAGGATGGCAACATTGACTTCAACGAGTTCCTGGAAGCCTTCCGCCTCGTCAAACAGTGCCCGGCGTGAGAACCTGCCCAGGGTTACCACGTCCCATGCCTTGATTTCCATAAAGCCAGGACTGCCTGACCTAACATAGAGGGTGCCTGCAGATGGCAAGCAGGGAAAGGGAAGGCAGGTGCTCAGAACAGACATCACTGTAGGCAACAGCCGTGACCCATCTGGGGAAGGTAACAGGTGAAACAGATGAGCTGCGCTTCAGTTTGGGCTGTTCTTAAAAGAAGCTGCGTTTTGAGTAGTTTCCTGCTCAAAGGGAAGATGCAACTTAGCTTCTCTTGGCAGTGTGAGGAAAGGTTACAGGTATTTTCAAAAGCAGTGAAGTGGAAGTTGAAGTATTGCTTGTAGGCAGCGTTTTAAGGAGGTAGCACCTCTTTGATCACAGCTTTCCTTTTAATAAACCATTTTTTCTAGATTGCTGTTGTTTGGTTGTTCATTTCTTCTCTAGTTAATTCTGGGAGCAGCAGTGCTGCTCCAGTCATGATACCTACTTCCCTGCTCGTGTTCCTGTGCGGTGGTAAGCTTGTTCTGGAAGTTTGGAGCTACTGAGTATGTGCAGTAGAGCAGGATCTTGGGAAAAATACCTCAAATGTGCAACACTGTCTCTAGCAGGGGGACTAGAAAATCAGACACCTACTGAGGTAATTTCATTTTCAAAGCCCAGGGCAGTAGATCAAGTAGCACCCTGCTAGGGAGCCTATGATGCACATTCAAGTTATTTTCAAAGCATATCAAGAGTGCATAAAAGACTGCAGCTTTGTGAAGCGGGGTAGTGTGAAGAGTTGGCAAAACAAGAAACAACGTGTTTCTCAAATAGAAGCATCCCAGTCCAGCAGGCAGAAGACTGAAGACTGCTAGCCTGGCCCCCAAGGGAGAATTCCAGTCTCACTGAATTTCTTACCAAGCTTGTTGCCCAGTGCAGACAGTTTACTAACTGGAACTATGCTTCCAAAAGGAAACTAATCCTGTTCCCCCTTAACTAGAGTTCCACATATGCTTTTTCAATTGTAATGGAAACGTGCTTCCAGAAACACACTCAAAGTGCACAATACAGGTCCCAGTACATTGCAGCTGTATTTCTATTTTTCTATCCTTCAAATTGAATGAATGGAATTAATTTTGATAGCTAAAGAAAAGAATTATTTTGCCTCTTCCATGTTTGTTTTTGCCGTACAAACTCGTACTGCAGGGAACACTGGTTATTTGTTTCAGTTTTTTTTGGTGACTTTTGTAGTGAGGAAAACAGCAGCTCTCTCTCCATGGCATGGAGTAGAGGTAGCTGCTTTGCAGTGCTTGCTACCAGGTGAGATCTAGTTTACATTTTGGTTGGGGAACTGAGGCTGCCAAGGGCTGTGGCACTGGGTTTGACAGCCTATTACCTGCAGTGCCTGGAGCAGAGTGAAGTTCTCTTACCTGGAGTTGTGAGCAGGGTCACTGCTTTGCTGATGTCACCGACAGCCAACACCACACACCACTTATTACAAAGTCAGATTGAATTTATTACCCTTGGGCAATTTAAAAAAAGGCAGAAGACAACATCCAGACATTCTGTTACTTATATGGGCAGCAAAACTTTGTATAATTCATACACATTAAGTGATCAAAACATAACCTTCAGATCCTTACAGTCCAAAGGAAGGACAGAAACTGGAAATGTGAACTTTCTGCAGGTTGCCCCAGTAATCGACTGGTATTGCAGAGAACAACATAGTTACAGCAACAAACATCTCAGTCAAGATTTAAATTAGCTGTTTACACAATGGTGCTACTTGATTGTTGTGACAGAAACACGGAAGCGGGCTAAGCTTTCCACAAACCGAATCATTAGTGAAACAATCCCCTCAGCACTGCATTTTTAGGACAATGCTGTTGTAAAAAAGAAAAAAAGGAAAAATGTACAATAGTACATATAGTTTTATAGTAAATGGTATCTGAACAGATTCAGTTTTCCTTTTTTTGGTAAAGCATATACAGCTTTATAAAATATAAACCTTCCAAAGGTCAATTTGAAAAGCTTGGAAGAGGCTTTGCTAATTCTAAAAGTAACAGACAAAATACCATTTTGCTCCTACAAGATGCGTGTTTTATTTTACCTCAACAGTTTTAGCCTTGGAAGGTGAGCCATGAACTCGACTACCGTGTTCTGTGTAAACCTCCACCAGTCAACTGAAGACTCCCCCTCGGATGGGAATGCTCTCGTTCAGCCCATGTTCTATTAGCTTGATGTCCTCTAAGTCATCTTTGATGATGCTGATTAGGTGACCCAGCCCTTCTTGCTGCTGCTTCAGGTGCTGCAGATAGTTCAGAAACCAGTGTGAGTATTGTTCAGCTTCAGTGACTTAATACTTCTCAATAGTGAGAAATATTTGTAATATTTCTCAAAAATGTCATGACTGGTGGCATTGGCACATTGCTAAGCCTGGCATCATTTCTTTGAGGAAAGAGTAACAACATTTTCTGTACTAACAGCCTATCTCCACAGAGTGGTTTTGTACAATAGCTTGGTGCCCTGGTGCTGAGACCAATTAAAAGGATGACTTCATCAAGCAAGGCAAGAAGGTGACACTCTAGATCCAGTGTCTGGCTTAAATGATCAAGTTCAAAGAGCAGGCCAGGATTCTACCCAGTGACACTTACTTGCTTGATTTCCCTTAAGAGGTCTGCATCTATGTAATAGCGCTCCTCTGCCCGCACTGTTCCAAAGTGGTTCTGCATCCTGATCTGGGACATGAGCTCATTCAGTCTGCCCTGGCAAGAGAGAAGCAGCCTTAAATCAAACACAACTCATTTACAGCTGGCAGAGCTGCAGCACCTACCACCCCTTGAGTCTCTAGGGCTGGAAGCATTGCTGCTCACTCGATTTTTAGATGTTCTGGGTGACATGCAAAGGGTAAGCGACTCCAATTATTTCCAAGAACTCAAAACTGCTGAAATACCTCTTGGCTACTCAGTAAAGAACATGATGCTACAACCTACTCACACTGCCAGACTGAAAGCCTTCCACAACCAATATACACACATGATCTGGAAAACTGACGTGTTTTTAGTGAGGAACCCCCAGAGTTGTTAGCCAAACTCTGTCAGCCTCTCACCTTGAACTGTGTGGGTGCGTTAAGTTCACACTGAATTGTATCCAACTGCACACGAAGCTGCTCCTCATCTGCTTGAATGGCGTAACCGCTTTTCCTTTGGATCTCCTGCTTTATTAGCACCTACAAAAAAAACCTTTGACGTTCATTAGAGAACACTTGGCCCATCCCTCTCCCCACCAGCCCATTTACATCTCTTTGCCCTTCCTTCTGCCTGCTTCTCACTGGATTTGTTTCTTTAGTCTGCTGCTCTAAGACCTCAGGACAGCCCTGTGGTAAGTGTGAGAGAAGGTTCCCAAGTACTGCAGACCTGAAGCTTTCCCTGACAGCTCTGCCTGGTACTTAAATGAACACCTGCTAGTTGACATCAGAATAATTTTCAGCATCAGCCTGCACAAGACAGAACAGGTTCTCCTTCCCTGTGAGACTACTTGTGGCACTAGACTGTGTCAAAGGAGTTATTGAGATTACCCCTGTTACCTGCAATGTTCTGTGCGAAAGCGCCATCAATTTCCTTTTGTACTGTGCAATTTTTGCCATAGTTGTCGTTTGGTTTTTCTGCAGCTCACTGATATCTTCTGATATTATCTGCAGAGGAGATGGGAGTCAACTGGATGTCAGAGAAGGTTTTTGATAACAGAACACGTTAGGCTTGATTTAAAACTTGGAGTTTCGTGACACTACGCTGCCCAGCAACTTGGTGTCCTTGACCCAGATGCTTTTACCTCTGCTGCTTTCTTCTACCTCTACTGTTCTGGTTTGTGTTTACTTTCATACCAACTGGGATTTTCAGAAGGCACTGGAAAATTGGTTGCCCAAATTTAGAAGTCCATGCCAATACAACTTAATGGAGCTGGTGTGAATTAGTCTATAACAAAACAGTAAGCTTGAACCTGAAACAGACGAAAGCTAAACCACACTGCTCAGTTTTTGGGCAAAAGGTCTATTTAAGGAATATATTAAGAACATGGTTCCTGTTGCAGTTTTGAACACACAGGGGGAGGTGCATTTCATAGCGTGTCCTTTGTCAACAACAAGTCCATGATCAAGATGGTAAGGTCAATCTTACATCTAATCGAGTTTGATGCTGTTTGGTCATCTGATCCTGGACCTTCAATCTTCTCAGCAGTTCCTTGAAACCCACCATTGGCACGGGAATAAGCCTGTGAGAACACAAATACTTCTTACAACAAGTTTTTATACTGGACACATGGTAAGGACTAATAATTATGATGTCTGTCACTATAAAGTTACGGTTTATGCTGGTCTTTTATAAATTAATACATAACCATAGCTTTTTTTGCTAAGCTCTAGAGTCCTCTGTTCCTTTTTCATAAAGAAGCCAGCCCTATTTATCTGTAACCACCGGAGGGCATCACCTTCAGCCATAAAGAGAAAAAACCGTAAGAGTTGCAAAAAATAAGTCACAATAACTAATCCATGTAATGGAGGACACCACACCTCCAAGCAAACCGAGTAAGACTCTTTATCCTGACAGCTCCTAAGCGCCTAATGGGTAAAGGGATTAAGATAGGCACTTCCAGTAATCTTCACTGCTTTCAAGGGGATCAGCACTTGGCCAAGTTGTACTTGAGTAACTTTGGTGCAAGTTATCTGAAGGGTACTATGCAATAATTATCTCTTTCTCCCCTTTCCAAGCCTTGTTGCAATACTTCAATACTTGGACAGACTACTGAACTTACTTATCAGGATCAGGATTATCAACTTTGGCTTGTTCCCATATAATAGGATCAACACCTAAAAAAAAAAAAAAAAGGGATTTTTAGCATGGATATCTGAATAGAAAGATGTTACAGCTGCTAACCAGGAAAAAATGGTGTGAAATACACAAACCCTATGAACTATGCTAACCCAAATGCCTGTTACACAAATTAAGGTAAATTAAACTAGGGTAGTTTTTTA